CAGTGTTTTGATGGTTAATTGAAGACAAGAGTCTCAAGGATTTTTTTTTTGGTTGGTCGTGGGGTTTGAACTCTGGGCCTGGGCACTGTCCCTGAGCTCTTCAGTTCATGGCTAGCACTCTACCACTTAAGCCACAGCACCACTTCCAGTTTTCTGGTGGTTTATTGGAGATAAGAGTCTCATAGATGTTCCTGCTGGAACTGGCTTTGAACTGTGATCCTCAGATCTCAGCCTCCTAAGTAGGTAGGATTACAGGCATGAGCCATCAGCGCCTGGCTGACTTCAAATGGTGATCCTTAAATTGCAGCCTCCTGAGTAGCTAAGATTATAGGCACCAGTCACCAGCACCCAGCTCATCAGCTTTTGTACACCAGGAACCATATCTCATTTGCTCAGCCTTTGGGTTCTAACCCAGGAGAGTTGGGTGGGTCTAGCAGCAGGAGAGGCTGAGGGGAGAAAGCCTTGTGGTCCCTGTTATCTACCAGTATCCAAGCCTTGCTTCCTTACTGCCTCGGCACATTGTTTTATAATGGCTAAAAATATGCCACTTCATTAGAATTTGCTCAGAGGAAGCACCAGGGCTCCCTGTCTGGCCCCTTCCCCTCATGTCCCAGTCAGCCTCTCTCTGTGAATTACTTACTAAGAATGGATGGGTGAAGGCAGGTCCTGCATTCCCCACTCCCAAGCTTCTCCTCTTCTCCTCAATGGCCCCATGTCCATTCATTCCTCTTCTTGCTTCCTGTGAATCTACTCCCCCCTCCCCCATCTTTCTGTCATCCTTCCCCCTTCTCCTAGCCTTCAGCATCTTTAAGCCCCCAGAGAAGAAAGAGCCCCTTCTCCTTGATCCTCCAATGCCCTTAATCTGACCTCCTGATATTTTCTTCTTCCTCTCAATGCTGAAGTTACTGAAAGAATTGCTCCATTTGCAGAATTTGTCTCTACCCTCCCCACTCAGTGTTATTTATTATTTGTTTACTCATTTCTTAAATAGTTAATACATGCTCACAATTCAGAATTCAAAACGTTCCAGAAGCTACAGTGAACTATCTTCCTCCACCTGTCTCCCAAGCCCCAGCATCCTCCTCAGACACAATTCTCACTTCCGACTTTTTGCTTATCTTTGCAGACAGCACGTGCATACTTGTTTATACTTTATGATTACTGAAAGCATTGATACCTTTGCCTTTTTTTATTTAAAATATCTGAGAAGTTGTTTCATATATTCAAAGCTGTCTTATTCTTTTAAATATCTGCCAAGATTCCACTGTGAGATATACTATTAATTTTCTCCTCTGGACCTTGAGGGTAGTTCAAGTCTTTGTTCTAGCACATAGGCTGCAATGAGGATTCTCATCCATTTAGGATTTTTCCACCCTTGTGAGTACATCTGTAGGATAAATCCATAGACATGAAACTGCATTTGCATTTTAGAATTAAAATGCTCTTTGTGAAATTTGTACTAATTCATCCACCCACAGCAAGATAGGGGAAAGCGCCAGGTGCTGTGGCTTGCTACTAAATCCTTAATACTAAAGAGGCTGAGATCTGAGAATTGAGGTTCAAAGCCAGACCAAGCAGGAAAGTCCATGAGACTCTAATCTCCAATTAACCTCCAGAAAACTGGGAGTGGCACGAGGGCTCAAAGTGGTAGGGTGTTATACTTGAGCAAAAAAGTTCAGGAACAGTGCCCAGGCCCTGGATTCTAGCCCCAAGACTGACTCCCCTCCCCCCAAAAAAGAAAAAAAAAAAGATAGGGAAAGGCCTCATTTACCCTTCCCCTTCATAGTGAAAGGTTAAAGTTTGAGGCAGTGACCACCACGTGTTGCTTGGTTCTGTCTAGCAAAGCAACACTTGGTGGTAATCAAAACACCTGGTTGATTGTGTGCCTGTATAAGACCTGCAAATCCTTGGCTCAGGCTCTCCTCCTAGGCTCTGCTGTGTCGGAGTGTAGGACGAGGCCCGAGCTGCAGCCCGTTTAAATAAAACAGCTGTAGAATCTCTCGGTGGTCTTTTTGCCCGGGGGGGGGGGGGGGGTCCTGCGACCTTGAGTGTCCCACAAATATTTTTATTTCTGCCAGTCTGATAGGTTAAAGGCTATCCTTATAATTTGCCTTTCTTCTTATGAATGCAATCAAGCATTCTCTTTCATTTGAAAGCCATGTGTGTTTCTCTGTGAATCATCTCTTCCCATCCTTTGCCATTTTTTTTTCCTTTTGGTCTTTTTATAATTGTAGGAATGCCATATTAGAAAATTAATTTCTTGTCTATGATATGTGTTGCAATATTTGGTTACTTTATGACCCTTTGCAGTATGTCTTCTGTTCCCAATGACACAAATTCAACCAAGGCCCTACTAGCTGCCTATCCCCTCCCCATTGCAAAATGCAAAGGCATTGCTCTGGCCACACTTTTTTTTTTTGTCCAGTTGTGGGGCCTGAACTCTGGGCCCGAGCACTGTCCCTCAGCTCTTCTGCTCAAGGCTAGCGCTCTACCACTTGAGCCACAGGGCCACCTCCGGCTTTTTTCTTTTTGCTTATGTGGTGCTGAGGAATCGAACCCAGGGCCTCAGGCATGCAAGGCAAGTGATCTACCATTGAGCCACCTTCCCAGCCCGTCACTTTTTTATTTTACAGCAGTTGACACCGTTGATCTCATCCTTGTTGAGCACACTTTTTAATTACATGCACTACTGTATCTTGGATCATCTCCTGCTTCTGCTACTTCTCTCATTGCTTTGTGAAATTCCTGGGACCAATGCCCCAGGGACAAGTAGTCTTTGCCCCAGGCATCAGCAAGGCCCTGAGGAGCTCTGCTGGAGATCTTGCTGGCTTCTGCCCTAGCCCTTGAGCCTAGGAACAGGTGGGATGCGAGTTGCAGAGACATCTAGCAGGAAGTGCAGACAAGTCTGGCTCAGGACACTTCCCCATCTCTTCTTTTCTGATTCCACACATCAGGCTCCACCTATCTCTTCTCTACTCTTCACCTCTGCTGGACTCTATCAGTCTCCTAATCTTTCTAGGTGTAAAACTTCAGTTTACCCAGCCTGTAAGTTTTGAGGTTCTACTGATTCTTCTGTGAAGTGTCTGTCACTCCTTGCAGCCCAATGTGGGGCTTTCTTAAGTTCCTTTTAAGAAACCTGGTTCCAAGCCGGGCGCTGGTGGCTCATGCCAGTAATCCTAGCTACTCAGGAGGCTGAGATCTGAGGATCGCGGTTCAAAGCCAGCCCGGGCAGGAAAGACCGTGAGACTCCTATCTCCAATAAGCCACCAGAAAACCGGAAGTGGCGCTGTAGCTCGTGGTAATGCGCTCGACTTGAGCTGAAGAGCTGAGGGACAGCGCCCAAGCCCAGAGTTCAAACCCCACGACCGACCAAAAAAAAAAAAAAAAAAGAAACCTGGTTCCAGAGAGTGAAGGAAAAGGTGGCATTGTCCAAAAATGAAATGTACTCTTGCCACCGGTAGCTCATGCCTCTAATCCTAGCTACACAAGAGGCTGAGATCTGAGGACTGCGGTTTAAAGCCAGACATGGCAGCATAGTCCGTGAGACTTTTATCTTTAATAAACCACTAGAAAACCAGAAGTGGCTCTATGACTCAAGTGGTAGAGTGTTAGCCCTGAGCTGAAGAACTGAGGGACAGCGCCCAGGCCCAGAGTTCAAGCCCTACAGCCAACAACAAAGAAAGAAAGAAATGTACTCTTTACCTGACTTATATAACTGTAACCCCTCTGTACATCATCTTTATAATAATAATTTTTTAAAATCAAGAACAGGCTAAGAATGTGGCTTCATGGTAGAGTGCCTACCTAGCATGCACAAAACCCTGGGTTCAATTCCTCTGCACCATATAAACAGACAAAGCAGGAAGTGGCACTGTGGCTCAAGTGGTAGAATCTTAGCCTTGAGCAAAAAGCAGCTCAGGAACAGTGCCAGGCCCTGAGTTCAAGCCACAGGACTGGCAAAAAAATAAAATAAAATAAAAAGTCAAGCAAAAAAGAAAGAAAGAAAACTAGTTCAGGAGATAGAAGAAGGGGAACTGCGAGTTCAAGGCCGGCCTAACTCTACCTCAATTGTTTATTTATTAAAATGAAAGGACTGTGTGTGTACAGTACTTGCATAGCAAGCATGAAACCCTAGCTTCAGTCTCCAGCACGAGGGAGGGAGGGAGGGAGGAAGGGAGAGAGGGAACGAGGGAGGGAAGTTAATTTCACACACACACACACCTATGTTTTATTAATCTGGGGAGCTGTTTGCATTGAACTTGTTTGTTTCTCATCAACTTCATCAGAAGTATCAGAATGCACTTGTATTCTGTCTCCCCACTTCCTTCCCCACCGCCCTTTCTGCCCTCGCTTTCCCTGTACTTGAATGCTTCCTCTAGAGAAGCCAGGGGCAAGAGGCCACCTCCAAGACCTTGACTTACACTGTACTGCCAGGACTGCCCAGCAGTGCCAGGGCGATGGAAGGGCATTCCAATCTTGGTACTCTTGGTCCAGTGCCCCTAGCCACCTGCGGGTCCCTACTGTCCTCTCAGCCCCCCCCCCCCCACCACCACCACCACCTCCACCACCACAGACAAAGCTACAAAGAGTGCAGGAAAATGGCCTCCAGCTCGGTGTCCCAACAGGATTCTCTGAAGTTCTAAGGTAGCCTTAGGTGACTAATTGCCCAAACTTCTCCTACTTCTTGGGGTCCCGCGATTCGGCCTCCCTGGTCTGAGGGATGCACTCACCCAGATTTATCGGGATACTACTGGGGTTGGGGGACGGGGCATGGAGGCAATGGTGGGACATGGAACAGGGGGAGAAAGGGGGTATCTGCGACGCCCAGACCAGCGCAGCCTGCTGCCCTGGTACGAGAGAGGAGGGAGGGAGGGAGAGAGGGAGGGGGAGGCGGGCTGGAAGGGGTGGGGACCGCTGGGCTGGCCCGGGCGGGACCCTGCGCTGCGGTGAAGCGCTTGGCAAGTCCGTCTGTCCGTCGGGGCAGCGGGACAGGGCGCACGGGACAGGGCGCACGCAGGCTCTCCTGGGGAGTACCTTGTTCCTGGTGAAGCCATGGCAGAAAACGACAAAGTTCCTATCACCCTGTCGGGGCCCGACGACGTGGAGTTTTGCAGTCCTCCCGTAAGTACCCACTGCAGCCCCAGCTCAGTCCACACGCGGGCCTGGGTGGCACCTGGGTGTCTGGATCCATTGCCCAAGGCCGTTAAAGGTGCGGTGGAAAGCTGGGGAACCAATGTGGATGCCCACGTGTGCGTGGGGTGGCTTCCCACCCGCGTGAGCGTGCCAGGCTGAGTGTGGAGGAGGCATGCAGGGGCGGAGGAGAGGAAAAGTCCGCAGGGTAGAAAGTGACTGCAGACCCGATTCCCTGCGGGACCCCCTCCCCACACACAGCCCCGCAAGGGGACAGCCAGGTGCGGGTGGCGCGCGGTAAACGTGTCCCTCCGCCTCCGGCCCGCAGGCGTACGCCACCGTGACGGTGCAGCCCTCCAGCCCCGCGCGGCTGCTCAAGGTGGGAGCCGTGGTCCTCATCTCGGGGGCGGTGCTGCTGCTCTTCGGGGCCATCGGGGCCTTCTACTTCTGGAAGGGGAGCGACAACCACGTAAGTCCGAAGGGAGGCGCGCGGGGTCGGATCAGACTCGGGGGACGCGGGCCGGGGCGGGGCGCGGGGGAGACCCCAAAAGAGCGCACGGGGAGGCTGGGGCCTCCCTGTCATACTCAAGTCTCCCGCTAGGAGGAGACAGAGCGCGGGTCGGCGAGGGGCAGCTCAGGGGCCACGGACCCCCCTGGGGTCGCAGCCTGGCCCTCGCCCTGGGTCCTCTCCGCCCTAGGTCACCCCGCTCTTCCATCCAACCCCGCTCGGCTGCGGTTCGCTCTTGGCAGTGGAGAACGCAGTGGGCCTTTGTTCTCGGTCTCAGACTGCCCTTTCCATTAAAGAGTAGGGACCATGGGTAGGGCCTTTTACACCTATCTGAATTGGACTTTACTCATCTTTAAAGGAAGAAATGGAACTTGAACGACCCTTCCGGCCTGTCCCAGATGAGAAAAGCTATACATTTAAGACCTAGGACAAAGGGAGGGAAGAAATCTTCAGACCCATAATTGAGGTGAAGTTTGAGGGTTCAGAAGTAGAGAGAGATTGAGAGAAACAGAGGGGGGGAGACAGAGACAGAGAGACAGACAGACAGACAGACAGACAGACAGAGAGAGAGACAGTACCCAGGGAAAATAAAGGGCCAACTTCCTTATACGTGGCAAATCTCTTTAAGAACCAATTCTGGCCTAGTCACATGTGATTTAATGGTAAATGTCTCGCTAACTACTGCCCGGCCTTCTTTGTATGCAACTATTTATTTTAAAGCTCCACAGGCTCTCAGGGAGCTGGGAGGGCGGGGGATACATAAAAACAGCTTCTAACTTGACTGGGCAGCGTTCCAGTGTGTTCTCTAAATACCTGAACCTATCCACCTATGTAAAAAGAGGCACTTTCTCCCAATGACCGTTGCACATGGAGTAGAAGCTTATTCCCAACTAATGGGAAAGAATTCCGTCTCCAGGTGCACACAAAGGGCTCTTTCTTAGCTGTCCGCCAAGGATCTGTGACTACTGTGTTTCTCTTCCCTCTCCCACCGTGAAATTCTAAGCATGAACGAGTCCCAGTACTTAGAGAAATGGCGCTGAAAGCAACTCAGCCGTTTTACACATCACATCTTCTGCAGTCACTGCATAATTTGTATTTTTAACTCAAATGCCTAATGTAGATAAGCATGCCATTTCGCACTGAGTCTGTTTTAGAGACTATATCAAATTTACAAGCATCAATTTGTAAGATCAAAATTGCACTGTATTTTTGTGTGGATTTGAAAAGTGCCTTAATGTATTTGTATTTTAAATATAGAAGGCGGGCCAGATGCTCATATTTGAAAGCAGAAAATCTGAACATGAGAGTGATTTCAATGTCTATGACTCCATTAGTAACAGGCTTTGGATTGTCATCCCTTCGGAAATTTGATGGTATTAAAATGTAAATAATATCTTTTAAATAATAAAATCTTAATGCTATCAGTCACTTGGAGATAAAAATAGATATCCTTTTTTACTTTTTTTGGTAAATATTATGGTCCTGGTACATATAATTGGGATACCATTTAGTATTTAATTATTCAAGACAAACATGTCTACAGACAAGCTTCTTAGAGCCTGAGCGATCACATTGAATAATCAAGGTATCTTCTTCTCTTATCTCTCATGTTACCTCAAGATGTTTGGTTGTCTGGTTCAAGAAGCCAGTATGAAATTCTAAGAATACAGAGCAATAGTGAAGCACATTTTATTGCCAACAATCAATGTTATTGCTATTTTCTACACAGGAAAATGAAGAAGTCATAGTCACTTTTTTCTTTTCTTTCTGTTTTTCTTTCTTTCTGTTTTTCTTTTCCTTTCTTTTTTTTGTCTCCCCAAATGTCTGGTGCTGATGCATATTATTTAAGTCTGAAAAACAAATCACAAAATTCTAAGTAGAATACATTTGGCACCCTCTATGCCTAGCACATGCAAGGGTCTGAATACAAATGTAAGCCACCCAAAGAAAACAGGATCCAAAACTGTTCGTCTCTGTCAGACATCAAGACAATTGATTACTCCTTCTTTGGAGATCATGTGTGCCGTTGCTTCTCTCGATCCCCCATAATTCACCTCCTCTTCTTTTCATATGGGTAAACCCTGAGGACTGATCATAGGTAGAAGACTATGAAGCATGGGGTACTAATAATCAAAGGATCACTGGCCGAGCTCATATACTGAGGTCATTTTTCATCCACATTATTCTAAATGGAACAAGGCATTGAAATATGGAGAATTCCTCCCAATGCCAGATAACTGACAACTCTACCCTTCGGGAGGAGGAGAGGAGACCATTGCTTGGGGTTTTTCTTCTCAAACCAATTTTCCAAGGCATTTTCCCAAACATTATGTAATTAATCTTATAGAACCTAGGCCTTATTAAAAACTCATTAGCAAATATCCTTGGCTGTAAAAGGCACCATATTGAGCAGAATTTTGGCAAAGAATAAACTTCATTGTACTTGGATAGAAATTGCCGGAGGTGCCAACAGCTCCCTGGGCTTAGAGCAGATAATGTAATTGCTACACAGCAGCCCTGTTTCCTGCCCGGCTAGGAGTCTAGAACTTTGGAAACTGCAGATGGCTTCCCACTCTTCCCTACCTCTCCCCCATCACTTCAGGAGGGCTCAGGCTTCTGCTGCTGCCCTGTGTGGACAGGGTGTGCTGAGGCTGTATTCCAAAGGATGCTGTGCTTTCCTAGGGGGATCTTAGTTAGGAGGGTGGAGGTGGTAGAAAGTGAAATTAGGACCACAGGTCTAATTTCTTCTAACTCTTGTACAGTCCTCATTGCCTAAGAATTGTGAAGAAAGCCAAGTACCATTGGCTCATGCTTGTAATCTTAGCTTCTCAGAAGCCTGAGATCTGAGGATCACAGTTCAAAGCCAACCTGGAAAGGAAAAATCTGTGAGACTCTTATCTTCAATTGGCCAAGGAAGAAAGAAAGAAACAAACAAACAAACAAACAAACTCAAGTGGTAGATCACCAGCCCTGATCAAAAAGCCAAGAGGGAGGGCAAGGCTTTGAGCAAAAAGGAACTGTGATAATTTTGGAAATGGCAAAATTCTTAAAGGTTATGTTGCTTTAGCCCTTGCTTTTAAATGAAGACATAAATTCTCTTGTCACCTGAGTGGAGGACCGTGGTGACAGCCGAAAGTCATGTACCAGACACCTTTTGAGTCATTAGTAACTCCTCTGAACAGTGGTTGCTCTAAGAGCCAGAGGCAGAACAGAGCCGGCTTTCTCCCACTGGTCTACAGGGCAGGCAGCTGGGCAGGCTGGGCCAAAGCAAACACATTTTTGTAGCTCAGCCATTGGACAGACCACCTGAAGAGCAAAGGGAAAACTGATTCGTAAGCCCTGCTCCCAACTATACTAAATCAGAACCTCCTAGAAGAGTTTCCTGTGATCAGGCCAGCTTGGGATAACAGTAAACTGCAACATCTGAATTCCTCAAAGGGAGATGACGGGGCTGAAGAAGATGCTGGTATTTTCTGTTGGCCCAATGAGTGCTGCGGCCTGAAGGGAAGGGGCTAGGGGTGACAAAGTCATTTCTACATCTCTGATGACAAAGTAAAAGTGCTTTGTGGGTCTTGTAATAATGAGTCTTCTCCCAGAAATGATCCCCTAACAACAGATAGTTTTCCAGTGTTTGTCTATGTAGCCACGATTCTTCATAATGTGGGGGTGGAGGGGGAGGGGGAGGAAGGGATCAGACTTGCGAATCAGAGCTATTTACAGTTCTACCTGGCTGGCCTAGCACTAGACAGAAAGGATCTTCATCAATTCTCATTCTTACTTTTGGTGGTTTTTATGCATATGCATCTGTGTGTACACACACATATAATCTATACACATTATAGACAGACAGACAGAGAATACAGCTATAAATAAGCCTCAAAGCCCAGAAATATAAAGAAGGAAGTGAACCCTGCTACTAAGCCCTCCATACACAGAAAGGTCAAGCGGGTAAGCAGCACACTGAACAAGAGCAGCATGTGAATTATTTTTAAACCACTATAGTGACTAAATGTCAAGCTAGGGGAGCCCTTTGGATCATTTCATTTCGAAGCCAACAAAAATTTTTAAGTGATGAAGTTTTTCTAACAAAATCTTAATCAAAACACACTCTCTCTCTCTCTCTCTCTCTCTCTCTCACATACACACACACACACACACACACACACAAATACCCAGAAAACAAAATGCCCACAAAACCAAAGAAAAAAATAGATTAAAAGAAGAGCCAAGCTGGGTGCTGGTAGCTCACACCTATAATCCCAGCTACTCAGGAGACTGGGATCTGAGGGTCATGGTTCGAAGCCAGTAGGGCAGGAAAGTCTGTGAGATTCTTATCTCCAATTAACGACCAGAAAACTGGAATCTGAGCTGTGGCTCAAAGTGGTAGAGTGCTAGCCTTGAGCAGAAAAACTAAGGGACAGTGCCCAGGCCCAGAGTTCCACAACCAATTTTTTTTTTTAACAAAAGAAGAGCCACTCTGGCTCCATCAGCCTTGTCTTCCAGGCTACACTCCTGAAACTTCAACACTCTGGTATCATAGATGAAAACCAAGGTCCAATTTTTTAATTCTACAAAACTTCCTCAAGTATTTCTAAAGACCTAGGGATCTGTGGGGCAGACAGCTGTTTTTCTGATTCCTGGCCAGTGTTCTTCTAATGCCAAGTCCTCTCCTCCCTCCCACACAGGCTACACATGTCACTGTAACAAAACACCTGGCACCATATGCCCATCCCATAGGACCAAGTGAGCTGGAACAGATGTGTACATTGACCTTGCTCACTACAAATGCTGCTCTACACTGGGGATATTTTTTCCCCAAGAAAAAATGCCTGAGCCTTGGGAACTGACTCTTAGCTTTTCTCTCAAGGCTGTTGCTCTGTCACTTGAGCTGTACTTCCCCTTCTGGCTTTTTGATGGTTAACTGGAGATAGTCAAATGGATGTTCCTGCCCAGGCTGGTTTTGAACCATGACCCTCAGATCTCAGCCTCCTGAGTAGCTAGGATTATACACATGAGCCATCCACCAGTGCTTGGCTACATTACCCATATTCTAGTCCTGTCTGCAGTCCTTACTCTACATTAAACTCCATAGCTAGTCCTAACCAGAGGATTTTTAAAGTTGCTTTTTAAATGGAGGTACAGTGAAGACTTACTCAGCTGAAACTCAGTGAACTCTCCCACACCTCAGTTTCCATTTATCCTTCAAGGGTTCTCAACACAGTTGCAAAGAGACTTGAGCTTAGTGATAGAGCACTTGCCTAGCATGCACAAAGCCCTGGGTTTGATTCCTCAGTACCACATACACAGAAAAAGCTGGAAGTGGCACTGTGGCTCAAGTGATAGAGTGCTAGCCTTGAGCAAAAGAAGCTAAAGGACAGTTCCCAGTCCCTGAGTACAAGCCCCAGGATTGGCAAAAAAAAAAAAAAAAAAATGAAATACCATTTCTGAAATCCTAGCCCCCATAGGTTCTGACTTGATTGGTCCAGAGCAAAATCCAGATGTAGTACCTAGAACATCTATCCATCTGCGGTGGAGGCACAGCCAGGCTTGTAAATCATTGACCTATTTGAACATATCAAAGATTTTACTCATGAGGTATATTTAAAGAAGTAGTTGTATTAAGCAATTGAGTATGGATGAAGTCTTTCTATATAAATGTATCACTAATTAAAGATGATTCCATGTATCTCTGGAAAATGTGGAAGTCACCTCACATAATGTGGGTCTAAAGATGAGACCTGAGTTTCTGGAAGAAGAAAGTATCACTGAGTCTTCCGTTCACTTGCAGATTTATAATGTCCATTACACTATGAGTATCAATGGGAAATTACAAGATGGATCAATGGAAATAGATGCCGAGAACAACCTGGAGACCTTTAAAATGGGAAGTGGAGCTGAAGAAGCAATTGAAGTTAATGATTTCCAGAATGTAAGTATATTTTGTGCATTTAAAGAGTTTAACCAGGCAAGCCCAAGGACTTTTCCAGTTCAGGGAGAAGCAGCATCTTTTACATATACCCAAGTGGTAGCTGTTCTTTCTTTACAGTATTGAATTGCCACTAAACCTGGTATCTCATGTAGCATATTCTCCCCCCAAAAGGGCCACACTTCTTTGTTCTTCCTATTTTCTTTTCTTTTTTCTTTGCGGGGGGGGTCCGGTCATGGGACCTGAATTCTGGGCCTGGGCTCTGTCCCTCAGCTCTTCAGCTCAAGGTTAGCACTCTACCACTTGAACCACAGCACCACTTCCAGCTTTTTTCTTTTTTGCTTATGTGGTGCTGAGGAATCGAACCCAGGGCCTCAGGCATGCAAGGCAAGTGCTCTACCACTGAGCCACCTTCCCAGCCCCCTTCTTTCCTTTCTTTTCTTTCTTCCCTTCCTTCCTTCCTTCCTTCCTTCCTTCCTTCCTTCCTTCCTTCCTTTCCTTTCTTTTCTTCCTTTTCTTTCTTTCTTTTTGCCAGTCCTGGGGCTTGAACTCAGGACCTGGGCACTGTCCCTGCACTTCTTTTGCTCAAGGCTAGCACTGTACCACCTGAGCCACCGGACCACTTCTAGCTTTTTTCCTGTTTATGTGTACTGAAGAATCAAACCCAGGGCTTTGTGCAATAGGCAAGCACTCTACCACTAAGCCACATTCCCAGCCTGTTCTTCCTATTTTCGAAAGACAAAAAATCAGCATCTCTGTGGGAAAAAAGAGTAATATAAAACAAACACAACAAAAATACCTTAAGGTGCAGATGTACACTTGTACTCTCGCCTACTCAGGGAGGTTAAGGCAGGAGGAGCACTTGAGCCCAGACTAATTTGAGACTAAGGCACGAGGATCAATTCCTAGGCTCAAGTGAGACTAATTGAGGAGATCCTGCCACAAGGAAAAGAAAGAGATGCATTTACTAAATTCAGGCACTTAACTGTTTTGAAAAGTTAATTTTACTTTTAGGAAATAAATGATACCAGTCAGGAAATCAAATAAAACGATTCTTATGTGCTGTGTGTGCCAATCCTGGAGCTTGAACTCATGACCTAGAAACTGTCCCTGACTAGTTTGCTCATCTAGTGCTCTGCCACTTGAGCCCCAGCTCCATTTCTAGCTTTTTGGTAGTTAATTGAAGAGTCTCACAGATATTTCTGCCCAGGCTGGTTTCGAACCACGATCCTCAGACCTCAGCTTTCTTAGTATGAGTACAGGCATGAGCCACCAGCACCCAGAAACACTTGATTTTTATAACTGAAAAAAAAAAATCACAATACCACTTAAAAGGATATAATTCCTGGAATTACAGAAATTCTTGGCTTAAAGTCTAATTTTCTGTAACATGGCAAATAAAATGCTTATACTCCTAGAAGGTTGTAAGCTCCAAACTTCTGGGAAAAAAGAAAAAAGAAAAACTTTTTTTGTGTCATTTACAGTGTTTGAACTGAGAGTAGCACTTGTCTAGCACTTGAGTCAGACCCCCAGTCAGGCTTTTTGCTGTTTATTTTGGAAATGGAATCTGGAAGACTTTTTATTGTTGTTGTTGTTTTTGGCTTGGGCTACCTTCAAACCATGTTCCTTCAGGTCTCAATCTCTGGAATAGTTAGTATTATAGGCACGAGCCATTGGTGCCCAGCTTAGAGAGGAAAGAAATTTTAATAATCTGACAGTCTCATCAACAACATGTTGGATCTACTTAAATACTTTTCTCAGTTCTTCTGATTTCCATTTAATCAGAAAATCAGCATGGATGACTTTCCTATTATAGCCTTAATTTTCTAGCCATGGCCTATTATAGATAAAAACATCCAAGTTTCCTTTTTTCAAAAAAAGACTTTTGTTTTACAAAAATTTAACTTACAGACAATTTGAGACATTAAGCTATTCAGGGATGCTTCAGTGTACATCTGCAAACCAAAATGTCACTCCAGGCTTAATTTCCCAATGGCCAACATAAATATCTTATTGTCTTTCGTATTCTGTGTTGAGGAAGAGACATCATTATTTGGACCCTCCTGTTCAAGCTGAAGATGGAGGAGGTAAAGATTCATAATGAAGAAGAGCTCTTGAAAATAATGTCTCTTCTCATAGTCTATTGGTCCACAAAAAACTCATCAACCCATCTTTCTCTGAGGAGCAACACCAAAAGATGCTTTTCATTTGAATAGAAGCACTCTTCTTGTTAATACTAAAACACACATCACAAGCCCTTCTGCAATCCCAAACGAGACTACCATTAGAATCTTGAGATGTTACTCATTGTTTGATGATGACCAGGGCTGGCTGTGTTCACAGTGGTCCCTGACCTGGGAACAGGCTCTGCAGTTCTGAATGTGCCCAGCAGCACTTTATTTGCTCACAGCTTTGCAAATGGCTTTGGTCAGTGCACAAGTATAATTTCTTTGGACCTACTAAAGGCTTTTACTGCAAAACCCAGAACAGGGTAAAAGTATTTTTTCTTTGTATTACTCAGTATAAACTAATAAAATGCACCTCCTCCACACACATCATTCAATCCAGAACAGAAGTGAATACACATAACATGCCACAATACCAGGCTACGTATGATAAGGAGCTACAGGATGAATAAGAAGATACCTCTCTCTTGAGATGTTCCCGCATCAAGGATATCCTTTGAAAATATTTTAATCCCAAACCTATATATCTGTTTTATAATCCTCTAGATCTTTCTAATAATGGTATTGATTGTGTTTTGTTCTCAGAGGGCAACAGGGCCACAAATATTTTATAAACTGATCAATTCTTTTTGAGAGCTTCCACATTTCTCTAAGTCAGAACTGGTGAGTCGAACATTTCTTTGATAAATAGTACCTGTTACGGGTTTAAACAAGCCTGGACTTTTGAAAACACATGAATCAGCCCCTATGGTCATCTGCTATTACTTTCTCCTCTATTTTAAACCATCAGTCAATGGCAGGAGTGTTGATTGAGCCTCTGTGTGCCAGGGACTATGGCAAGTATGAAGCATGGAAGATGACTAACACTTGTCCCTCAAGGACCTTCCAGTTGAGTCCAGGAAGTAGGCAAGCACGTGTGTGTGTGTGTGTGTGTGTGTGTGTGTGTGTGTGTGTGTGTGTGTGTGTGTGTGTGTGTGAAACTGCTGTGATGAACTCAGCACACAGAGGCATGGCTGATGATTATAGGCTGTGAGCAGGTTTAACAAAGATGATGACAATTGAATCAGATCCTGAGAAGTGGCTGAACCTCAACTGGCAGCAAGGTGGGGGCAGGGATTTCCAGGCCCAGGGAAGAAGAATACACAGGAACGGTCAGGCTCCCATGTGGACAGACAGAAGGAAGCAGACTTGACAGAGACCTAAACAGGGTCAGGACCCTACCACATTTCTCCACGGAGCAAAAAAAGAACACTACTAATGAGAATAACACTGGAAGAAAGACAAGTGCTTCAGACTCCGCCCTCTGAGAAGTACAGAAACTGGGTTAACTCATAGTATATAAGTTATACTGCAGAAAGTTAGATTCTCTGCCATGTGCCCGTGGCTCACACCTATAATCCTAGCTACTCAAGAGACTGAGATCAGAGGATCAAGATTCAAAGCCAGCCCAGGCAGGGAAGTCCAGAAGACTCTTATCTCTAATTAAGTATGGAAAAAGCCTGAACTGGCGCAGTGGCTCAGGTGGTAGAATGATAACCTTGAGCAAAAGGAGCTCAGGGACAGAACATAGGCCCTGAGTTCAAGCCCTAGGACTGGCAGAAAAAGGAAAAAAAAAAAGAAGAAGAAGAAAGAAAGAAAGACTTTTGTATCCCAGCCTAATGCCTCATTTAAATAACAAAAAATGTATGAGGAATTAACAGACCAAGTGCACCAGTGAATCTAAGCATATTCCCTTTATAGTTCTTTTAGTATGTGACTATTTGAAAGTTATAATTTAAAACACTGGGGCTCAGAATGTGGTTTAGTGGTAGAGTGCTTGCCTAGCATGCATGAATCCCTGGTTTCGATTTCTCAGTGCCATATAAACAAAAAAGGCCAGAAGTGGTGTTGTGGATCAAGTGCTAACCTTGAACACAATCTCAAAGACAGTGCCCAGTCCCTGAGTTCAAGCTCCAGGACTGGCAAAACAAAAAAACAAAAAATTGGGGAGGGGAAAAGTTAGTATAACCTACCTAAAAGATAGGTATTGCTTTGATAAATCAATATAGTTCCCAACTAGAACATAAGGAAAAGAAAAAAAATTAAGAAGATGTCTATAGTAAAATATAGATTTTTACATGTAAATACTCCAAGTTTTCTCAATTTTCACAGCAATTTCATTTCTAGGAAAGTTGTACATTTGAATCACTCTGTGCTTATATATAAAATAGAATTGGGTTCCAGGCAGATATCTACAAACAGATTTGTTTTTCCTTGAGCTCTCCAAGAAAAAATGAGTTCTTCAGGACCGCAGACTGTGAAGAATCCAGCCTCCCTAGGTTCTGCCCAATAAGGCCAGGAATACCCTAATATTTGTGACAACCAGGTTCCTGAAAAAATAGCTAAAATACCTTTTGAGGTCCAAACTCCCTGCTGTCCTTGAGACCCTCATGGAAGTCCAAAAATAGATGAATCCCCTAGGAAGAAAAACAGTACAACTAAGATGGGATTAGCACTCTTTTGATGAAAGAACATTAGTTGTTTGGGGTTTTTTAAGTCTTCACTCATTATCTTCATTAGCAAATTTCTTCATTAGCACCAGCTTCTTCATTATCACTGCCTTGTTTGTTTGCAAAAGCAGGAGGACTGTTTGGCTTTCTTGTGCCTCTTTTAGTTCTCTCCGTTTAATCTCCTAATCTATCCGGCTGCTTGATGTAGATCTGATAGCTAGATGCGGTGATTGCTATGTGTGAATTCCTTCCCTCAGTTCTGTCCCAGCGGGGCTGCAGTTCTCTCTGCAGTGTATAGATCATCAGAATGAACTCAAGGCTAGATTGACATCCAATGAGGTTAATATTCAGTAGACTCTGTTCTCTCCTTTTGGAAGTGTGGGAATGGTTGCATGGTGTCTCCTCCCACCGCTCACCTTCAGAGGAGGTGAGGGTTTGAAGTTAGGGAACATGGAACAGTCATCTCCCTCCCCTGTCTTCGGTGTTTCACATTATGAGTCCTTGATTTCCATACAGAATAAGAGCCGCAGAACTTTGGGAGGTGTCATCCCACAAAGGAATGAGTCTCAAAAGTGTATTCTTCAAGCCACCAACAGAGTGCTGGAAATAGAAGTTGTTGGCCTACTGAACTGCAAACCTCCTGGGTGGACCCAGCATTCTATTATATTTAATGAGAGCTCCCAGTGATTGTGAAGCAACTGCAAGTTGGAGTCCCTGGTACAGAAAAACTTGGGTCCAAAGATTACTGTAGTCATTTAAAGACACAGTTACCCTGAAGCAGAGGACTGGAATCTCATCTGTAATCCTAGATACTCAAGGGGCTGAGTATTGAGGATCAAGGTTTGAAGTCAGCGTAGGCAGAAAAGTCCATAAGACATTTATCTCCCATTAACCAGCAAAAAAAGCTGTTAGTGGTGGTGTGGCTCAGGCGGTAGAGTACCAATGTTGAGTGGAAAAAGCTAAGTGAGAGTGCCAGGCCCTGAGTTCCAGATCCAGTATGTACACACACACAGACATACAAAACTTAGTTGCCCCGAACAAATTTCTTCACCCATACCAATGATCCTCAGTTGTGGTTGTACCAATGCTTGAGTGTCCCACTAGCTGTGCTCATAAAGTTAGGGAACATGTCACCAAAGGACTACATATTGTCAGCCTTGGGCTCCCCTTCTGTGAATCAGGTACCATGCCCTGCTTCTGAGAGGAAGCTGGTGCTGGGAGTGCTGAGTGAAAAGGGGCAGGTGTGTGCTCACAGCCAAGCAGGCCTCAAGGCAAACAGTGAGGTACATTAAGAAGAATGTGTCTTTCCTTCTCTATTTAGCAACCTCTGTGGGACTCTGGTGCTGAGCACCCATGGGTAAAACTTTTCATGAATCAACTCTGCATTTAGGACTGACTCCTGTGCTGGACCTCTAGATCTGCCCATGCTTTTCTTCCCCCCATTCCTTAGCATTGATGCCAGAACTGAGTCAGTATGGTCTCCACACAACAACACAAGCTACAAACAAATTCATGCTGGTGTCTACGTTATCACAGCATAAAACTGGTGAGCTTTAGGACTCTGTGGGGTTCTTTATGCCTCATGAAACTCAAACCAGCAAGAGTGAAAATCAGTACTCCTCAGACAAATCCTACAGTCACGCTTCTTGTCCTCTGTGGAGAGATGTGGTGCCCATTGTAGCCAACAGGATGTGGGGCAAGTATTTCCCTTAAGGCTGGTCCCCAGGTAGAAGGTGACACTGTATCTCACGGGACAAAAAACAAAGCATGCAAGTTCTTGAGTTAAGTCTGAGAACAAAGTGCATCTCCTGTTTTATTTTTCATTTGCTTTTTGTTGCTTTTTAATCACATATTAATTGTTCAAAGGAGTTTTGTTATTTCCATATGCAGATAATGTACTTTGATCATATTTACCCCTCTGTTCCTCTTCTTATTCCTTCCTCCTTTTCTTCTTCCAATTTTAATTTTTATTATTTTATTCTATTTTAATACCACTGTGTGGGTTTTTTGTTTTTTGTTTTTGCCAATCTGGTGCTTGAACTCAGGGCCTGGGCACTGTACTTGAGCTTCCTTTCTGTTCTAGGATAGCACTCTACCACTTAAGCCGTAACTCCACAATAGGCTTTTTGCTTCTTAATTGGAGATAAAGTTTCATACTTTCCTGCCCGAATTGGCTTCATACCACAATCCTTAGATCTCAGCTTCCTGAGTAGCTAAGATTATAAGCATGAGCCATTGATACCCGGCCCCTATTACTAGTAAATAACACTGAAAGGAAAATTCCATAAGAGTCAGGATTGAAATCATATTTGTCTCTACTAGACCCAAACAATGCCTTTGTAGATGCTTAATAAATAAATGAGTGGATGGACAGATAAGCTTTTATCTCACAGGGCATCACCGGAATCCGTTTTGCTGGAGGAGAAAAGTGTTACATCAAAGCACAGGTGAAGGCTCGTGTTCCCGAGGTGGGCACCGTGACTAAGCAAAGCATCGCTTCGGAACTGGTAGGTACCAACATGTGCCAACAGCCAGAGGCATTTGGTAGGCACAAATCCTGGGGTCTCTAGTTTCTGGGTGGTTAATAACCAGAAACTAAGCTTTTCTTCTCTACCAAAGGAATTTAAATTATGTCTGCTGGCTCCAAGGGATCCAATATGAGGGAGTATATTTAAGGTTTGGGAAAGTGACATTGCAAAGTATGTTAAGGATCTGGTGCTCACGTGGCTCTTATTTACCCAATGCTGAAGAACTACTAGATCAGTAATTAAGATTTCATAGTAGCCAGGCGCCGGTAGTTCTCATCTGTAATCCTACCTACGCAGGAGGCTGAGATCTGAGGATCGCGGTTCAAAACCAGCCCAGGCAGGAAAGGCCATGAAACTCTTATCTCCAATAAACCACCAGGAAACCAGAAGTGGCGCTGTGGCTCAAGTGGTAGAGCGCTTGCTGAAGAGCTGAGGGACAGCACCCAGGCCCAGAGTTCAGGCCCCATGACCAACAACAACAACAAAAAAAAGGATTTCATAATGGCAAAGGACTTCACAGATAGAATCTTCATTAAAGAAACTTTATAGCCCTCTAGCCTCAGCCCCAATGTGGACAATTCTCCCAGGTAGTCTGGCTACCCACTAGAAATCTGTGATAGGACTTTCTCCCCATGAGTCAACCGGCTTCACTGGGGGGAGTCCTCATTGTTTTGCCCAACCCTGAGCTCACCCCACACCCACTATAGTGTTTTCCCTTTAGTTCAAGGTGGACCAAATCAAGTTACACACAAATACATTTCATTCCTTTTATTTTAGTCAGTTATGGGGCTTGAACTCTGGGCCTGGAGTTGTCCCTCAGTTTGAGCTCTTCAGATTAAGGCCAACACTCTACCACTTGAGCCACAGCTCAAGCTGTGGTGGTTCATTGGAGATAAGAGTCTGACAGACTTTCCTGCCCAGGCTGGCTTCAAACTGCAATCCTCAGATCTCAGCCTCCTGAGTAGCTAGGATTACAAGCATGAGCGGGGGAGGGGGGGGGAGTGACCCCGTGGCTTCATCTCATTCATGTGTCTATTTGTGAGCATTTAAAATATAATTCTTCCATTTCTTATTGCAATTTACCTTTAAGCTTGGTCTTTTGTTTTTTGTTTTTGCTAAGCCTGGGGCTTGAACTCAGGGCCTGGGCACTGTCCCTTAGTTTCTTTTGCTCAGGACTAGCACGCTACCACTTGAGCCACAGTTCCACTTCTGGCTCTTTCTGTTTATGTGATACTGAGGGAATCGAACCCAGGGCTTCATGAATGCTAGGCAAGCATTCTACCATTAAGATGCATTCCCAGCCCGCCTGATTGTTTTTAAGAGTTGTAATGTTCTAAAGACACATTCAGTAATACTTTTTTTTTAAGTGATACTTTTACAAAGTGGTCACAACCCATTATTATCTTCTAATTGAGGTGTGCCAGGTAGGGTGAAAATAAAATGGTGTTTGGGGTCAATCAAGAAAATGTGGATTCCAAGCCCAACTTTGTCTTTTGCAGACTGGGGGGTACACATATTGCCCGTAGCCCTAGGACCTAGTAGGTGATGAGAGGAGGCTGTTACTCATTACTGCTAATTTTATTATGATCATCTCTGAGCCTTCCAGTATTCCAGAGAGGAAAGTGAAGCAAGTGTTGCTCTCACAGGAAAAGAGGGGAAATGTGCAGAAGGTGCCTGGAAACCACCCCATTGTTTGCCCCCATGGGAATAGCAGTAGCTGGGGGCTCAAAACAAAACATAACACAAATGAAAAACAAACCTATGAGTTTTGAAAGCAGGTCACCCTGTCCTCCAGGTCCTTCCTTACTCCCAGTTTCTCCAGCATTTACCTTGTGACATGATTTGCTGACCTCCATCACACCTGTCAGTCCTTGGTACGTGTGCTAGCTTGTTCTTCTGGAGCTGAGCCACTCAGCATCCAACATCAGGGTGGGTGTGAACTCACTAACACCAACCTAAAAATGAGGTCAAGACCTGCTTCATCTGGATCATGAACTTTCATTGCATTACTATTATTTTTTAAACATCCATCACTCTGTTTCTGTTAGGCCATAGAACTTGTCTCCTCCTTTGCCTTCCCCAAAGACCAACTCTTCAACCAGAGCTTCTAACACTGTAGACAAAGGTTTACAGTACATTGTATAATTTTTTTTAAATAAAATTGATCCTGATTTAAAAAATAATGCCTTGTCTTGTAGAAAATCTGAGACCTACATCCAAGTAAAGAAAACCACCTACAACTGCATAATCCACAGATAACTAATGTAAACATTTTAATGGGGTTTCTGTGTTTGTATGTGATATTCTTTTCCATAAGTGAAATTAAACAGTTGTACATTCTTATGACATTCACTTAACTTCAGTTCTTTTTAAATGTAGCTTATATGTTGCAGATTATCATATGATTATAATTTTTGTCCAAACACTTCAGGCATTTTCAGTTTTTCACTATTTCAAACAACAGTTATCAAAAACAATTATCTAATTATAGTATTTTTGTATTTCAATCTTCAGCTCTAATTTTTTATGCTTAAAAGGTAGATTATTTATCTCATGTTTTAGTTACTTATATTGTGCACGGTGGAGCCTCTGATGGACAAAACAGTTCAGACTCTGTGTGTGTATGTGAATTAGGTATATAGTTGGCTGTCAGTACCAGATAACTTAGAGCAACGTACAATTCTAGTAATCAATGCAGAGAGGCTGTAGAGCTGCCTTAATGGCCAGCATCTCGGTGTTTTTCAAATTATTTCTTTAGTCTGTCCTTCCAACTTCCAAACATGATAATACTATACTGCTAAGTTGTTTCAAAAAGAAATTGAAACAAGGCATCAGGCTCATACTTATAATCCTAGCTTCTTAGGAGGCTGAGATCTGAGGATCTTGGTTCTAAGTGAGCCCAGGCAGAACAGTCCAGGAGACTTCTATCTCCACTTACCAGAAAAAAGTGGAGGTATGGCTCAAGTGGTAGAGTACCAGCCTGGAGGAAAAATTTTTAAAAGCTAAGAAATAGTTCCAACACCCTGAGTTCAGGTCCCAGTACCAGCATGAAGAAGCAGCAGAAGCAGCAGAAGAAATGAAACCACCCCAACCCTGACTTACCTTCTATCAGGAAAAGCATCAGCTCTACAGCATTCTTAGCCTCAATCTCCATGGCTTTTCCAGCCATCCCAGCCATCCCCAGCCACTGGAGTGTGACAAAAGGAAGTGTCACTCACCTGGTGCTGACATTGCTGCTGACAACAAAAGCAGGATCTGTGTGGCAAGAAAGGAGGAAGGAGACTGGAGAGCCACAAGCTCTCAGACTGATTGAACATTCTTACCTTACAGGACTCATCATGAAATGCATTATCTCAATCACCCTCCTCTTCCCCACACACTTTAGATTATGCTGGGGCAGATTGATGCCCTCTTTGTTCTCATAAATTTTTCATCAGTGTTTTTTTATAACTTTAAAAAGCTACTGTACTCAAAGAGCATTCATTTCCTGGATGAGGCCATTTAATTTAAGGTAAATAACTGGATTGAGTGCAAGCTTCCTCCAATAATGTTAAGTTGTTTTAATGCAACCCTATGCCTGAGGGAAAAGGCACAAATGAAGTACTGCTTTTAGCTAAAACTAGGAGAAAACATTTTAATTTCTCCAACCTATTGCAAACTAATAAATACATGAAAGGAACAACCTGGCAAAAATAAATTTGTCTCCTGGGTTATCAAACCATTCTCAGCATCTCACTGTGGAAGAAAATCCAAGCTTTCACTTTGAAATCTCAGTGGTGTGCTTGATGTGAGAAAGATCTGAAATATGTTTTGTTATAGCTGGGAAGTGGAGAAATGGTTTATGTTAAATAATACTTTGAACTGGAGACATTAAAGAACCAATCACTTGCTTTTTCCATTGTTGTCTGGAAGCTGCAGAACAAAACCCCAAAAGATTTTCACTTCAAATGAAGGGTTCCTCTCTCCTTTATAGGATTTCAGGGTCTGTTCAATTGCTTTTCCTCAAAAAACATCTTTGATCGAAAACATCAGATTAACCTAAATCTCAAAGTTGGTATCAAGTAATTTTCACTTCAACTCAGAACACTTCTGTTCACACGACACCTGTCCAGAGGCAGGCCGTGGAGATAGTGTGCAAAGCATTGTGAGGACAGCTACAAAGGTACTGGAGCCTTAACGTGTGCACACATGGTTTGTACACACACACACACACACACACAGAACTGGAAGTTGTTTTTGTGCCAGTATCAAGACTTGAACTCAGAGCCTCAAACTCTCACTCTGCTTTTTGATTCGCAGCTGAATGTCTACTATTATTTGAATTCTGCTCCCTACCCGGCTTTTTGCTAGCTAAATTTTGCTAATTTTGCCAGAAATGGAGTCTCTTGGATTTTTCTGCCCATGCTGGCTTTGAACCTTGATCCTCCAGGTCTCAGCCTTCTGAGTAGCTTGAATTACCAATGCCCAATTCTTTCTAAATTTTTATCAGGCAAAAATTATCCTTTAGCAACACATGGTTTATCATAATGCAGCAGGTGCCACAGTCCTCTTTGCTCAAATGCATTTCATTTTTTACTTCCAGGAAGGCAAGATCATGCCAGTTAAATATGAAGAAAACTCTCTTATCTGGGTAGCTGTCGACCAGCCAGTGAAGGACAACAGCTTCCTGAGTACTAAAGTCCTGGAGCTCTGTGGCAACCTCCCTATTTTCTGGCTTAAACCTATGTATCCAAAAGGTAACATCTTAAATTCTCCTAATGAATGGGGCTTGAATTTCTTCCTCTTACGTGAGGCTCCTCTGAGCCCCTCTGCCAGCCAGGGCATGTGATAGAAAGATAAAATCAAGATGCATGTGGTGGTGTTTCCATAATTAGCATGGGAGACAGAAGAGAAAGAGAGTGACAGGCATGAAAAGGAAGGAGCAGTGGGGTTAACAAGAGGCAGGGTGGGAAGAGAGCGCCACGCAGTACCTGCCATTACCCTCAGCTTTTATTTATGATGCTCCCGCTACTTCCAGCTCTGCCCCTTAATCTCAGTTGTTTGCACCTTTCCAATTTCACAATTTTTTTTCATTCTTCAAGCACAGCATCAAGGGAGTAAGAAGCTGTCATGCTGCTGAATTTTTATTATGTTCAAACCTAGAATTATGGGACAGCCAAAAGCTGCCATGGGTATCAGCCAAGATTCCTCAAGTTCAAGGCTTGAGCATCAGCTTCCAAGTCTAGAGAAAATAAGTTCAGGATCCCTGGGGTTTGGAGTTAGGTTAGAGCACATCTTTCTGAATGACGAAGGGCACGTGAGCCCAGTGGGCCTTGCTCTTTCCCCTGAGTCTCTCCCATCCCTGAAGGCCTATCACTCCATTTCTGCTGCCATCATCACCTGGCCTCCCCAAGGCCTTCTTTGTACTTCTGGCAAAAGAAAAGAAAAAAAAAATTAAAGACCTCTCTCCTTGCACAGCAGAGAAAAATAATATAAAGATTTGAGTGGTGCATGCCTGTAATCCTAGCTACTAGGAGGCTGAGATCTGAGGATAGTCAAAGTCAGCCAGCAAAAATTGGGAAGTGAAGCTATAGTACAGTGCTTACCTTGAGCAGAGCAGCTGAGAGATATACTCAAGCACTGAGTTTAAGCCCAGTACTGCACCAAAAAAGGGGGAAAAGGGTTTCCACCTACTCTTTCATAATATGAAGAAAATGAAGACAGCTGATAATGCCCAGATTCCTATCTAGTGGTAATAACAGTCCCCAACTACTAGCCAAGTGCTAGAGATTCATACCTTTAATCTTAGCTACTCAGGAGACTGAAATCTGAGGATCATGGTTCAAAGCCAGCCAGGGAGGACAGTCCAAGAGACTTTTATCTCCAATTAACCATGAAAAAGCCAGAAGTGGGCTGGGAAGTTGGCTCAGTGGTAGAGTGCTTGCCTCGCATGCATGAGGCCCTGGGTTCCATTCCTGCACCACATAAGCAGAAAAAAGCCAGAAGTGGCGCTGTGGCTCAAGTGGTAAAGTGCTAGCCTTGAGCTGAAGAGCTGAGGGACAGGGCCCAGGCCCAGAGTTCAGCCCACAAGACCGGATCAAAAAAAAAAAAAAAAAGAAAAAGCCAGAAGTGGAGCTGTGGTTCAAGTGGTAAAGGGCTAGCCTATAGCACAAAAGCTCAGGGACAGTCCCAGGACGAGTTCAAGTTCCAGGGCTGGCATGTGGATGCATGTGCTCCGGCATGTGCTCACACGTGCGCACGCGCGCGTGCGCGCGCGCACACACACACACACACACACACACACACACACGTCTCAGCTCCAGATCCATAGCCCTTGTCCGAGCTGTTGGATGAAGTGGGTAATCAGTGTCACATAGCCATGTTACAAAGGCACTGTGAAGATGGCTGCACCCAGGTTGGCTGGGGAAGAAGCGTGGTGTCTGCACAGCTGATTGTGTGCCAGGCACTGTTCTAGAACATCACCTTTGACCTCATTGAAGCTGTCCCAATGATTTTTGGGGTAACTACCCAGCTTTCCATCCTGCAGAGGAAGAATGTAGGATTCACAGATATTAAGTAACTTGCCTGAGGTCACTCAACTAGTGAAGAAATAGAGCTGTGAGCCTGGAACCCATGGCTCACACTTGTAATCCTAGCTACTCAGGAGGCTGAGACCTGAGGATCACAGTTCAATGTCAGCCCAGGCAGTAAAGTCTGTGAGACTTTCATCTCCAATAAATAAAAGAAGACAGAGGTGGCTCACGTGGTAGAGGGCTAGTCTCTAGTCTTTAGCCAAAGAAGCTCAGGGACAGTGCCTAGGCCCTGAGTTCAAGCCCCAGGACCAGCTAAAACGTAATTAAATTAAAAATGGAGGTATAAATGAATTCAGTTCTCCCTGGTGCCTCTCCAATTATTATCTATGAAAGCTAAATTAAGCCTGACTTTAAAGCACATGTAAGTTCACAAAAATAACAAAGCACAGTAAAAGTACCACTACTTAACACTCAGGTGCTAATTATATGCCAATACTGTGCTAAAACATTCAGGTACAGGTTTTCATTGACACTACCTCTATCCTATGAATTAAATACTATTATCCTGATTTTACAAATGGAGAAAGTGAGGCTCAGGGGAGACACCGAAGTGCAAGCTATGTGGTACCTTCCATCTTTGTTACTTAGCCATCTAATGTGCAGTATAGATCCATGAGGCAGTGTGGTTAGCCAGAGCTCTTGGTGGAAAACCAGTGTTTCTGGCTCTTAGCTTGATCTGATGTCACATCTACATTCAGTAGCAAAGTACTTTCCCAGTATGTACCAGGTCCTGGGCCTGATCTTCTACCAGAAAATAAAAATACAAGTAAAAAATACAAAAAGGAAAATAAGACAGTGTTAACCTTATTTGTCCTCTTGTACCAGGAAGAAATATTCCCACAACGGCACTAGCATATTCTGCTGATGTCAGAACTGGTTTGTCAGGGACCCTCTTCATCAGCAATAGTATGTTATTTACTCAGCTCCATAGTGACAAGGGTTGAGAATGCAGATTTGTTAACTATCTTTCAACATCTACCCAGGAATTGGAGACCAGGGGGGGCAAAATAACAAGATCTTGTCTGAATAAAAACCAAACCCAAACCCAAGAAATACCCCAAATGAACAAAAACAAAAAGAATGTTCAGGTTGTCAAATGATGGGCCCAATTTTTAAAATCAACAGCATAAAAATTTAAGAGCATATATATAGCAAATACATATTTGTATCTTGATATTCTTATGATTTTTTTACCCCCCGAAATATGCAGATCTAATTACCTTAATTATCCAATAAAGAAATTAATTTTTAGCAATCTTTGTAGAGACCCAGAGAGAAAGAAGAGACGTGATAAGAAACATCATTCCAACTACCACAAGACCACGCAGCAGGCCACGAGGCAGCCCAGACCCTGGAAGACTGAATAACCAGAGCAGACCCAGTGTTCAAGAGGATGCAGAGCTTTTCAATCCCGATAATCCTTACCACGTGCGTACTTGTGGCTTCCTGACAAGCTTAGACTAGAGCATTAAGTCCAATGTTGAAATGGCGTTTCTACTTGAGGTTTCATAGAAGCATTTCATTTTTAATGGAGACCTTTCCTCGATTATTTTAAAAACACTTCTTCCTCTATTTGATGCATGGGTTAGAATGAAGAGCAGGAACACTGAAGCATTGCCCGTGTAGCATAAAATCCTTATTGGTTAGAGAGTTAGAATAATTCTCTGATTTCCTGTGCTCTTTTAGCTTGTCACAGGAAAATCCACGCAAATTCATATCAGGAATTTGAGTATCTAAAAATGTCTCTAAATGTGTGCCTCCGAGGCACACATGGAGAATGAAAGTATTCTCTTTCTCTCTTTATCACTTTTTGTATCCAGGCACCAGACATCTAGGGAGCGGTTGGCCTGTGCAGGACAGTCAGGAGATCCCCTGCCTGAGGGCAGGGGTGTTTGCTCAGTGCACTCTGGGACAGACACCCCACTTCACACAGCACATGATTATGAGGACAGCACTAAGGTGCTAACGCCTCAAGCCTAAGAAATATTGTTTACCATTACTGTACTTTGCAGAATTAAAGAATATTTATTTTTAACTAGTTTTTAAAATAAAAAATATAGTTTAAAAAAGAACACCATAGCCGGGCGCTGGTGGCTCACGCCTGTAATCCTGGCTACTCAGGAGGCTGAGATCTGAGGATCGCAGTTCAAAGCCAGCCTGGGCAGGAAAGACCGTGAGACTCCTATCTCCAATAAACCACCAGAAAACCGGAAGTGGCGCTGTAGCTCAAGTGGTAGAGCGCTCACCTTGAGCTAAAGAGCTGAGGGACAGCGCCCAGGCCCAGAGTTCAAGCCCCACAACCGACAAAAAAAAAAAAAAACCACCATAGAAGCTGGGCACTGGTGGCTCACACCTATAATCCTAGCTACTGAGATCTTTAGACTGAGGTGTGAAGCCAGCTGAGGTAGAAAAGTCCATTAGAATCCATCTCCACAATAAACACAAAAAAAGCTGGATGGAGGTATGGCTCAAGAGCACCAGCCAGTGAGCAAGTGAGAGGACCTGAGTTCAAGCCCTGGTACTGGCAGAAACAACAAAAAGCAATACAAAAGGATACAGTACAGTATTCTGGAAATTGTTTAAATAAGCAACATAAATTCTTCATTACATCTATTCATGTAGCAGTATAATATGTTGAAGAAACAACTAGTACAGAAACTTAACTATTTTGGTGGACATAGCAGCTTTGTTTTGCTGTTGCAAACAGGGTTGGCGTATACTAGCTTGTACATGATTCACTAGGTAATAGGGAGTAAATGGTGATGCCGGGGGGGACTCTCATCACACAGGTCAGCACATTGCTCACCGTTAGCTATTAGTTTATCTCCTCTATATACTAAGAAGGACAGCTTTGACACAAATACCAAAGCACATATTGTCTGCTGCATCACACATTTTGGAGATTATAATAGATTTTTCTGGGAATTTTACTTTGTGTCTGTATAGGTCCTAGGGCTTGAATTCAGAGCCTGGGTGCCATCCCTGAGGTCTCTGTTTTCAGTTCAAGCCTAGTGCTTTACCACTTGAGCCACAGCTCCATTTCTAGATTTTTTGTTGGTTAATTGAACTTTGCTATTGGACTGGCAACTGTGATCCTCAGATCTCAGTCTCCTGGGTAGCTAGGATTACATGCATGAGCCACCAGCACTTGGCTGGAAATTTTACATTTTAATAAGGCATCCCAAATTGCTTTCTAGACAATTCTGCCAACTGCATTTACAAAGAGTGGTTGGTAAATAAGAACATTTTGTGTGTGTGGTGCAGAGGGTTGAACTCAGGGCATCTAACATGTTGAGCACACACCCTACCACTGACCTACACCCACAGAACCATTAAACTTTCTAATCTCTTGAGCTATACATTGTATTCCTTGATTGTTTTCCTTGTTTTTAGTTATAAGGTTGAACATCATTTCACCTAGTCATTTATTCTTTCCTGGCAGCCTATGCAGTCCTGCACTACTTCCTGTGTTAATATATTTTCCAAATCAGGCACTAGTTGTGCACGCCTGTAACCCTAACTACTCAGGAGGTTGAGATCTGAGGATTATGGGTCAAAGCCACCCCCATGCAGCGAAATCCCTAAGACCCTTACCTCCCATTAACCACCAAAAGCCACAAGTGGAACTGTGGTTCAAGTGGCAGAGTGCTAGCACTGAGCACAACAGCTCAGGGACAGCTCCAGGACCGGCACAATATATATTTTTCTCTAGCTTATCATTTTAGACTAATAGATGTTAGAAAGATTTACGGCAAAGAGTATGTTTTAAGCAACCTAAAGTTTATCAGAAATTTCAGACCACCATAGTTTCCATTCCCTAAGCTCAAAGAAATGCCATGTATTTTCAATTAGCTGGACTCACTGTCCCTGTGCACATGTGTGGGTGTGAGTCCTTTTAGAATGGCTTCAGATTGTATGTCCTGGTTTCAAACTTAAAGATCCATACTCAAAAAAAAAAAAAGCCAGGCACCAGTGGCTCACACCTGTAATCCTACTCCAGAGGCTAAGCTCTGAGGATCTCAGTTCAAAGCCAGCCTGGGCAGGAAAGTCTATGAGACTCATCTCCAATTAACCACCAGAAAACCAGAAGTACCACTGTAGCTAGTTTTGAGCTGAAGAGTACAGGGACAGTGCCCAATGACCCACACACACACAAAAAAAAAAACAAATAAAACCCACACTTTTAATATGTTGAGCTTTAAGCAAAAATACTTCAAGCATTCCTCCTCACTCTGTCCCTCAGATATTCTTTTTAAGAAAAATCTTAGAGAAACAACGCCTTCATATGAGGAAACACCTCAGGCTTAGGACATTTGGTCCACAGAATCAGTTATAGTTGCTAATCAGGTGATTATTAGTCAAACTGTCCCAGATGAGACTATTTCAAGAGATAAGGGGGAAAAGGGTCAGGAGAATGAGGGTGATGTTAGAGAGTAAGATCATAGAGGTATTGATGACAAATCTAAACAAGCTGCATCAGACATTGCTAAGATATCATATTTTAAGATATGATAATGGTGATTTGGTTATGTAGGAAATGTCCGTTTGGAGGTCCATTCTAATGTATTTATAGATAAAATATCACTATGCCTTTCTATTTCACATATGTATTTACCTTAAAAATACTTCAGAATGCTTAAAAAGGAAATTTGACAATAGATTTAAAAATTAACATATACTAACAGTGTAATTTTCCCCACCCCCCAAATTAAAGAAAGTACTATAATGAGCTACCATGTTTAGGGCTTCTTGGAAATATAATTTAATAGTCTTAGAGAATACTACCAGAATCTTAATCCCTCAGATTCTTGCAAAGGTAAACCAGACATGCAAATTGAGCAAAAGACAAATTACTTCTAGTCTTATAATCAACATGATTTTATCTGGTAAGTCTTAAGGGCTTGAATTTCTACAAATTTTCATGGAGCCTTTTTCTAGCTCCCTAACATCCCCATGGAAATGACACCCTTATTCTGTTGCTGAAATTAAGGCAGGAAATCTAAATGACATGACAGTGCTCGAGACAGCCCTAGAAGCCATTACTGTAGGAAGGCTTAAAATTAGCAATAGCAGAAAAGCTAGTTTTGATCAAAATGCTTCCTTTTTGTTTTAGTTAAAACAAATTGAGTCACTGTGAGTGGTAACCATGGCTCATTTAAGGTATGGTGGAATTTCAAAACATCATTAAAAAGCACACAAACTTTCTGTCCATGACAGATTAAGTAAGTAAAGGTTCCTTGATGTCAGATCATTTAACAAGATTGGAAACTTTAGAACTGATTATGCCGATTTCTTGCAGTAGTGAACAAGTCAGGATGTTATTTTAACCTAATGTGCACACTATAACTTTCTCATTATGAATACAAGTAATCCTTTTATTTTATAGCAGCAGGAAGGGGAAAGCATGACATTTGACCCCAGACTGGACCATGAAGGTATATGCTGTATAGAATGTAGGAGGAGCTACACCCACTGCCAGAAGATCTGTGAACCCCTGGGGGGGTACTATCCATGGCCTTATAACTATCAAGGTTGCCGTTCTGCCTGCAGAGTTATCATGCCTTGTAGCTGGTGGGTTGCCCGCATCTTAGGCATGGTGTAAAATTGCTTATCAGGTACTGTCAAGAATTAACTCAAGAGTTGACAACCAAAGCAGCAAGATGCATGTTGATGCTGAGGGACCACAAAGTATTTTATACCCAACCTGAGCAATGTTATCCTAGACATAAACGACTTTCTGTTGCTTTCCAGAACTATATCTAGTGAGAGCAAATGTACTGAAGGGGTAGTTTGACACAATCCTTTGATTTTTTTCTTTGCCTTGACAATAAAGCTTATTGTAACTATGAAATAAATTGATATGAATAAATGTGATGATTTACAATTTTAGAGATGGTTTCAATCAAGTCATGACCAAAATCTTTCCAGTCATTGTTATTTATACAGAATTCCTCAGTGGTTCTTTTTTTTTTTTTTTTGGTTGTGGGGCTTGAACTCTGGGCCTGAGCGCTGTCCCTCAGCTCTTCAGCTCAAGGTGAGTGCTCTGCCACTTGAGCTACAGCGCCACTTCCGGTTTTCTAGTGGTTTATTGGAGATAAGAGTTTCAAGGACTTTCCTGCCCGGGCTGGCTTTGAACTGTGATTCTCAGATCTCAGCCTCCTGAGTAGCTAGGATTACAGGCGTGAGCCACCGGCGCCGGGCTCCTCAGTGGTTATTAACCTTTATTGTTCTTCCCAGTCTTGCAGAACTTCCAGAATTCCCAGATAAATATTCAAACCAAAAAAATAGGCTGCATGATAGGATCCACCAGAAAAGTAAATTTTACCTTCATTGTGGTAGCTCATAAAAATTCCTCAACTATACTTTGCACTGGCATGTGGTTAACAAGTGGCAGCCCTATGGTTAAGAGTATTGGGATAAGGAAAAATGAAATTTGAAGGTAAATCACACTTGTGGTGAAGAACTTTGTTGACATTCTGAAAGCAAGTCTTCATCTTTTCAGTCTGTTTTCAGTAAGTGGTCACTAAGCAAGAAACAGCATGATGAGTTTACCACCTTTGTAGTACAAATCAGTCTGCTGGTGTAGTCCAATTACCAATAAGTTACTCTACTAGTAATAGGGCTGACAGTACAACTTGGCAGATCTGGCTGAAGAATAACTTGTTTATTTATAAAGACACAAAGGAAACATCTCAGGAACAAAGACCATCTTCAGAAATTAAAATATTAGTTGAGAAAGATGAGCAGGTATTTTATATTTTGACATTTTGGTACTGAATCCCAGTTTGAGAGTAACAAACAATTTTCCTGGTGAAAATGTTTCCCCAAACACCACAGGACTGACATGCCAAATGGGTCTTGATGCCATGATCTCACTACTCCTACCTCAAGTGTCTGGTGTTTGCTAATTCAAGTCTATAAAAAGATAGAATTTTAAAACCTAGCTGCCAAATGATCCACTTAATGGCCTATACAGCAAACTCTGTCTCTGAAGAAACAAAAAGGATGAAAGGAAGCACTCCATAATTACATGGAATGGTCACAACTGCTCTCAGGCAGCAGCTCCTTTCTTGCAATTGAATTTTATATGCTCAGTAAAATGACTGCTATCCTACAAACTAAGTGAAGTATGCACCAGCAGTTCTGTATAGCATCTTCCATACGCATGGGTCTACAATCTGTCCTGAATTTTAGGACAAATAAGAAAAAGATCACAAGATACAAAATCTTGATAAAGATGAGAGTAGTATATCTTACTACCTGAAGTCTTCAAGATGAGCAAATGGCACAGTAAAGAATGGGCATTTCTAGGTAGGTAGTGGGGAATAGTCTGTTGAGTAAAGTGACTGCTTCTTCTCACATAAAGTGGGTCATCTTGGCAGCTCTTCATGTGGAAACTGAGTTCCAGACAGGCTGAAGGGCATCTGAGCAAAGAGAATATAGAAAAGGCTGCTTTCTGGAAAAGTGTTCTTTTCCAAAGTTCCTAATTAAATGAACATACAGAAGATAAAGGGGTTGTGTTCACAACAAAGTCACTAACTACTAAAGGACAGCACCTTCACAGGAAGAAGAAGAGAAAAAAAAAAGCACTGGAAAATTGAAGGTCAGAGGGGAAACAAGTTTGGATGAAGGGACCCAAATTGTGCTCCAGGAACAAAACTATGGTCTACTTTGAAAGAAGTAGGGCTGGGAAGGTGGCTCAGTGGTAGAGTGTTTGCCTTGCATGCATGAGGCCCTGCATTCGATTCCTCAGTACCACATAAGCAGAAAAAGCCAGAAGTGGCACTGTGGCTCAAGTGGTAGAGTGCTAGCCTTGAGCCTTGAGCTGAGGGACAGCGCCCAGGCCTAGAGTTCAGGCCCCAAGACTGACAAAAAAAAAAGAAGCAAGTATATATGAAGAACATTTAGTAAGGAAAAAGAGGACAATGAAAGAATAGAAATCTCTTATCACTTAGTGCTAATCCCATATTACCTCTAACCAGGCCAGTCCAAACAATGTCTAAAAAATGCAAAATCCCAACTGAAACCTATCAGTATGTGTGGATTGGTGCCACTGTATTCTTTCAGATATTTACTTCATTCCCAGTGGTGCTGTAAAGCAGTCTTCTCAGAAAATTTTAGGTTTGGGCTGGGAAGGTGGCTCAGTGGTAGAGCGCTTGCCTTGCATGCTTGAGGCCCTGGGTTTGATTCCTCAGCACCACATAAGAAAAAAGAAAAAAGCTGAAGTGTTGCTGTGGCTCAAGTGGTAGAGCGCTAGCCTTAAGCTGAAGAGCTGAGGGACAGCACCCAGGCCCAGAGTTCAGGACCCACGACTGGACCCCCCACCCCCCCCCCCAGAAAAAAAGAAAAAGAAAAAAAAAAAAGAAAATTTTAGGTTACTTTTCAAGGTCCTACTGTCATTCTATAGTCGTAGATATATAGTTAGCTACTGCTCACTTAGCAAAAGGAAAATAAAAGATACTGCTGAGTTTCACTTATCTATAATTATTCTGTCATACTGATTGTCATTATAGTATGAAAAGCTTCCATTGCAGCAGTTTTAAAAACCTGTTGGGCTGGGAAGGTGGCTCAGTGGTAGAGTGCTTGCCTTGCATGCATTAGGTCTTGGGTTCCATTCCTCAGCACCACATAAGCAGAAAAAGACAGAAATAGCTCTATGGCTCAAGTGGTAGAGTGACAGCCTTGAGCTGAAGAGCTGAGGGACAGTGTCCAGGCTCAGAGTTCAGGCCCCTTGACACATACACACAAAACCCAAAAACTGTTAACTTAATCCTATCTCTCCTTCTACCACTCCCTCATTCTAACAATTAAGAGTAAATAAGCTAAGATTACTCAATTGATCCATTGATCTTTTTTTTTTACACCAGATTACTATACTCAAATTCAATCTAAATTTTCACAAAACAGAAATTCCTTGTGAGAAGTGATTTCCACAGATGGACTCTATGGATTTATCTAATGAACATATATTGTATAAAATCACCATTTAAATGATCAATTTAAATGATTTATCAGACAATAGGAAGGAAATGACATAGTCCAAATAGTATAAAATCAAAGTGTAAATTTGGAATCAGTAGCAAATTTTAGCAAAAGGTAACAGTAATGTTTTATTCATGAGCAAATTCCTTTAAAGGACATTTGTACATACATGCATGCTTTGTTCTAAGTGTGTATACATACATACTTATTTGGAAAAAGTTCAATAGAATACAATAAAAAATACAAGCAAAGCATGGGTGTATCATACCTGTAGTTCTAGGACGCTGAGATTGGGAGGACTGCAATTTGAGACCAGTCCAAGCAAACATACATCAACCAATATTGGACACAGTGACGTATGCCTGCCAGCCTAGCTATGGAGAAAGCGGAGATTGAAATAAAGATTTGCTTTTATTTTAAATGTATAATTTGTCCCCATGCAACTGATACAGGCCACCTAGTTTTGAGTTCTACACACACATATTTCTCGGATACCATTTAGTATTCAATTTTAAAATCCTATTTCCATCCCTTTCTATAGCCCTTTCTCATATTTCCCTTCTATCTACAAGTAGAACTATTCTCTTGCCAATATTTCCTTCTAAACCTACTTTCACATCCCTACTCTCTCATTACCTACACACTTAATAGGTAACTGTCTTTTTGGTCTTTTGTGTTTATTAAATTTTCTTTGCCTCTGCCCTCCCTACACCAACACACTAGCTACATTTCTTGTCCCTTACTACCTCACTCCACTTTCTCATTAAAATCCCATAATTGCTAGGCTTAGCCTTTATCCTTTCCTTTTCTATAATAACCAAACAGTATTTTTCATTACTGTTAACCCTGGTTTTTTATGTGTTTATTAAATTTTCTTTGCCTCTGCCCTCCCTACACCAACACACTAGCTAGATTTTTCCCCCTACTACTTCACTCCACTTTCTCATTAATCTCCCATAATTGTTAGGCTACCCTCTATCTTTTCCTTTTCTATAATAACCAAACAGTATTCTTCATTACTGTTAACCCTGCCATTTAACTAAGATCTCCCTAGACCATGAATGTAGCAGTAATGGTGACTAATCTTCATCAGAAATTTCCACAAAGACAAAGTTGTCATTTATCAACTGTAATTTCTATACTTCCCAAGTTTATTCCCCATTAGGGGAAAAGAGTGTCATACATGTCTTGAGCATTCTTGTGGAGACTAACAGGCAATGATCAGAATTTGGACCCTTAGATCCATTATAGTTAAACACAAAATATACAGTGTATAAAAACAGTATTGAAAGCTGCAAGGAACTAAGAAACTTATAATGGCAATCCATCAGAAAAAATATCAGATTTCTCAACAGCAACTCTAAATACAAGGAGGGCAAGATCAAGATCTAAGAAATAAGAGTTACCAACTTGGATTAGTGTACCCAGTAAAGCAATTCTCTTATAATTGACAGAAATAAAAATCCTCCATGATAAAAACTAAAGGAATTCATGACTACTAAACAAGCATTGCAAAAGATAGTTGGAATCCTACCCAAAGAAAAAACAGTAAAATATAGGAAAGAATACACCCTACTATAGAGCAAAACAGGAACAGGAAGCAATTATACAAACAACAAAATGACAGAGAACACAACAAAGGTTACAGTATCAACACTAAAACCTAATGGTCTTAATTCTACAAAAGTAATCCATTTACAAACCAGTTTTAGGCATTTGCTATGTAAAGATAAGTAAATAACTATATACATATTTATTCATTATAACCTAAATTTGGCAGATAGCTAACACTACTAAGATGTTTGGCTCACTGAACCTTTTTCATATCTTAAACAGTTTTTACATAAAATTTGTTAATCTGTATTAGGAGACAAAAACTGAAAATAATATAACTAGCTAAGCAAGTCACTAGTTGAAACTAGCCAAGCACAAATGGCTCCTATCTATAATCCTTGCTCCTTTGGTGACTGAGGTTGGGATGATTATGGTTCAAGGTCAGCCTGGACAGAAAAGACTGTGAGAACCTTAATCAAGAGCTGGATGTGGTGGTATGTCATTCTAGCTACAGATGGAAGTGAAAAATAGAGGTACATACCTTGGCAGTGAGAGCCTATCTCAAAAATAATCAGTGCAAAAAAGGACTAGAGGCATCATGGATCATTCGTAGAATACCTGCCTAACAAGCACAAAGAAGGCCCTGAGTTCAAACCCCAGTACTACTAAGTAACAAAGAATCCATAAAATTATTTAAATAGTATCCCTAACCAATTCCAACTATGATTTTTGTAATTTATAATGTGCTATATCATATTTCTGCTCTGTCCTTTGTGGCTGCTTCTTGGCAAAAATTCTTTCTACAATATTCCTGCATCTAGCTCAGAACCCCAGAAAAATATACTACCCCTCTGTATATGGTTGTAAAAATTCTAATAGCAACAAGACAGTATGGAAGGAATACTTCTGCATACTTTTGAAAATTGGCATTTAAAAGCTTACTTCACATTTTCAATGTGACTTCAGTGGCTTTTTATGCCGCTGCCTTCAAAGGTGTGAGTAACTTAATTGCTAAGAATTTTCTTTTCAACTGGCTATACTTAATTAGCTTAGACTACTACACATCTTCAATAATGACTTTGACTTATACTGACATTATCAAAGACACAGAAAAACTAGTCAATCACAAAATTTCTTAGCAGGCCATATGTTGAAGGTAGTTCCCTTTTTATTAAAACTGCAATCTTAACTGTTACTGAGTTAACTAGGTAAGGTAGTAAATGAATAGCATGTACATTAACATGCATTCTACTCAGCTGACTCAACTAGTACCATACTTAATACTTAGCATCTGATATGTGTATCAGATAGCAACTACTGAGAATATTCCAGTTGCTAATGAAGAAATAGTGCCTCATTATAAATTTATGTTATGCCATGGCCATCCATGAACACAGAGTATTCTCTGCTCAAATTCTGTAATATTGTAGTAGTAATAATGTCTTGCTCAAATACCTGTTCTCAGATTTCTTTCATTTTGGCCCAAACAGCAGATTTTTTTTTCAAGCAAGCCTTGGTTAAATAAATAAGAATGTTTCAAAAAGAATACAACTGGCAACAAAGGAAAGACACATTGGAGACAATGGAAATTAGCTCAATGTGGATGACCTCTCTTTACATACAACATAAAACATTATCCTAACTATGAGACTATTAGGAGGCTGAGTAAAGGGAAGGAGGAAAAAGACTGAGGGTGAATAATTTCATGCAACTACATATGAAGATGGCAGAGGCAATCTCAATGGAAGATGTTGATCAATAGGGGACTGGAATTAGGAGAGAAAATAAATGAGAAAATATAAATACCATAGTGAAAGCCCTTGGTGCACAAAAGACATAAATGACACTCAAGAGGTGCTGGTGGGCTTATACCTGTCATCCTACTACTCAGGAAGCTGAGATCTAAGGATCACATATGTAAGCTAGCCTGAGCAGGAACACTTTTGTGACTCTTATCTATTACTAAGCACCAAAAGGCTGGAAGCAAAGCTGTGGCTCAAGTGTTAGAGCACTAACCTAGAGCAAAAAAATCAGGACCAAAGGCCAGGCCCTGAGTTCCAGTCTCAGGACTGGCACACACACAAAAATAATGACAGGAAAGTAAAACAGGGGGGCTGGGTACCAGTGGGAAGGATTAGACCTAAAAAAGGTGAGTGAAGATGAATACAGTTAGACCAGTTTACTTCCATCTATGAAAGTAAAACAATAAAAACCATTGCAATTGCTTTAAGGAGGAATAGTAGGGCAGGAAAGATAAACACATGTGCTGAAGTTTTTAACATGTATGGAAATGTCACAATAAAAATCTCCCTTGTGCAACTAATGTACACTAGAGTTTTCAGGGGGAAAAAAAAAAACACAAAAATCAGTAAAGTAGGACTCTGAACAGAAACCAGAAATTGTCGTCTTAATTTTTATCTTTTCTTAGCTCTAATTCCTCTAAGGCAAAGAGAATTAATAATGTTCTTGCATGGTTATAGTAGCAAGTATGATCACAAAGTTGTAATTCCTTAATGCTGCTTAAAGAGAACAAGCTGTAGTAACATAAAAACAACCACCTTAGCTAGGCACTGGTCGCTCAAACCTTAATCTGACTCAGGAGGCTGAGATCTGAGAATTGCTGTTTGAAGGCAGGCTTGAGTGAATATAGGGGACAGCACTTAGGCTCTGAATACAAGCTCTAATACACATAAAAATTAAAAATAAAAATGAATTTTAATCATGGAATGCTTACTTTGATCTCAAAACTGTATTTACAATGAGTGCAGCTTTCAACCACTCCATACCTTCTCCTGCAACATAAACTCTTTGAAATTAATGTCTTTTTTTGTTTTGTCATGGTATTTAGGCATACAGTAAATACATACAAAGATAGTAATTTAGTTTTAAAGTAGTTATCATATCTACTGAGATCAAGGTATCTACAAGAATTTGAGAACAGATTTTTCTCTTAAATTTAGAAACAAAATATAAAAACTCCACTAGTGCTATAACTTCTGGAATCCTGATATGACCAAAGTGCCAAGCAGCAGTTTCTCACATTATTCTTATATAATATGCCACATAATATAGAACAGTATCTCCAAAACCATAGCTGTTTGCAGTATGTTAAACTCAAGAACCTACTTATTTAATAGGAATTCAAAATCTCAGTGCAGTTACAAATGACAAATATTTCTCTTAAAAAGAACTAAAGGGGACTTTTCTGTGATTACTGCTCAAATTTCTCATGACAAACTTAAGGAAAAGGTAAATAAGCCAAACGTTTTCATAGAAAAAGTGTATTTACAACTCTCATTCAAAAGCAGTTTTTAAAAGAAAACACAACGTAACAATGAAGTTGAAAACTTTATGCTCAACCAAAGTTGCCAGGTCTAATAAGTTATTAACAGAATACTGGATCAAAAGTAAGGCAATAACCCAAGATACATCATTAAAGATTTCTCCACTCCCACAACTAATAGAACTAATCTACCTAGTGGCAAATAATACTTCATTCAGGTTATCATGTTTGAAATCCTTAAGGACTGAAGTAATAAAGATGTGGTCTTCATTCTTCATTACACTCAGAACACGAAGGAAAATAGTTTCCAAAGCACAAAGAGTTTGTAAAGAGGTATAATCTTTGAAAAAGATATTGTGTTCAAAATTCAAGAATGCAGTATCAATACACACTGGGTATTAGTGAATATATGCAATACAATGATATCAAATTTATTTATTTAGTACTTTTTCCATTCCATATCATCAGGAGGATTGATTTCAACTTTCCTTTTACCTACATCTGACCAGTTGGTACTCAAAACTGTACCACCAGACTCCATCTGCAATAAAAAAAAAAAAAAAAGAATAAATTATTACTTGGTCCATAAAATCAAAATGGATGAGTATCTTTCAAAATGGTCCAAATATAGGCTATTTAAAATATTTACGTAATCTTAGACTTTTCAAAGACGCTAACAAGTTCTAAGAAACCTGAAAAGTAAATTAATTGTATCAGGTACTCAAAGCAATATTAAGCACCATGTACTCCTCTGCTAATCAATACAGAAGTATATATGGGAAAAAAAAACCTCAAATAAAAACAAAGTTGTCTATCAAAGAAGATAATGCTATAATCTTCTGGATACAGTAAAGTCCAAGCAAATTAAACTACTTTTAATGCCAGTTAAGTAGAAATTTAAGAATCCATGTTTAATGTTTCATTTGTGCCAAACACAAAGGCTTTCTCCTAAATTGTTCTTAAAAATCAAAGTGCACAAACTCTTGGTATCTGCACTTCATTGTATTTTAAGGTGATGACTGCTGAATAAAAACTGCAAATGCTGAGACAACAGAGTTCAATACTCTTAAAATTCAAATTTATCTGCATCATACATGCAGTAGGTCTGAACATCTGTACCATGAAACCATATGGAACAGGTTATACTACTGTCACAAAATTACTTTTGAATACATTAATACTGATCACATAAACTAGATTTCATGTTCTTTACATTGAATGGTACACATGCTTGATTTCATTCCACCAAACACAAGCTGCCTGTCTTTCAACAAACCTAAAATTCTCTTTGTCAAATTAAGCACATTACATGCCTTTTTTTTTTTTGGTTTGAGATGATCACCAAACTCTGGAAGGCCCCATTTGCTTTTTGGGAAATATTTTCACAAAAATAAGGACCGAGAAACACTCAGCAGATCCCATGATTTACACACATTTAATGACAGAAAACTGGCTAAAAGCTTCTCTGAATCAACCGAGCTGCTTAATGCACATGGGGGAAGTTTTATTTTTTGGTTCTGAAATTTTTTTATTATATTTTTTACTGCACTAAGTCAAAATCCATGCAATATATTAATGATTAAGATGGGATTGCTGTACATACAATAAAGCTAGACAAAGTCAGTGTCTCTGTGGAAAACTGGTTACATATTTATCATTTACTGAATATATCACTAACCAAGGACTATACCATATTCATAAAGTCATATGCAACATTAACAATTAACAGTTTTGGCCAACAATAAACTGCATTTAATTTCAAGATATCAGATGTGAATAAGCATTCCCAAAAGAGCACTTTAAATCTTCACTGCTCCCTTTAAATACTTTTTTTTAAAACTTATTCCAGGAATTTGGGTTAAAATTCCTCTTAACAAGCCCTTTAATAAGGTACTATATTCCATAAATAAGGTTAAAATATAATTAAATTCATCAGTTTTCTTTACAATTTATTTTCTGTCTATATGCTTTCTATTTGAACACATCATGTGGTGACAGAGTAATAACAAAATATTTTAGGACATTCAAATATCCATGTCATGTTTTATTATTTTGCATTTTTACTAGTTCTTCCAGTATTAAAATACAACAGGTTGGGCTGGGAAGTTGGCTCAGTGGTAGAGCGCTTGCCTTGCATGCCTGAGGCCCTGGGTTCGATTCCTCAGCACCACATAAGCAAAAAGAAAAAAAGCTGGAAGTGGCGCTGTGGCTCAAGTGGTAGAGCGCTAGCCTTGAGCTGAAGAGCTGAGGGACAGCGCCCAGGCCCAGAGTTCAGGCCCCACAACCGGACCAAAAAAAGAAAAAAGAAAAAAAAAATACAACAGGTTATTTAACTATAGGAATATATATATATATATAAAAAATGAAATGTAGGGGGTTTTTTTTGTTTTTTTTGTTTTTGTTTTTGGTTGGGGCTTGAACTCAGGGCCTGGGTGCTGTTCATAAGCTTTTTCACTCAAGACTCATGCTCTACTACTTTGAGCCTCAGAGATAACTTCTGGTTTTCTGGTGGCTAATTGGAGACAAGAGTCTCACGGACTTTCTTGCCCAGGCCGGCTTCGAACCACAATCCTCAGATGTCAGCCTCTTGAGTAGCTAGGATTACAGGCATGAGCCACTGCACCTGGCTCTCAAATGTGTTTTTTCTGCTATTAGTAAGTAGTCATACTTAGGGCTTACAATTCCTAAGTCAGGTTATAAATACAATGCTTCTTGGTCAATGTCACCCCTTCCTTCATTCTCTTCCACTTCCCCCACTACTGTCCCTAACTTCAAGTTAGACAGTTCATTTTTTACATTATTGAATGTAATAACTGCATTTACTCACCCTCCATTACTGTGTTTTTGTCCTGTGTCAAAACTATTTGCTCAAAGCTATAATTATGATTGTTCTGTTATCCTCATCAATGATATCCTCAAGACAGACAGAATATCAGTAAATATTTTGACTGTTTTAGTGATAAAACTTGAGTTTGAACTCAGGGCCTCCCCCTTAGTAGGCAGTGATCTACTACATGAGCCATGTCCCCCATAATCTTGAACTGCATATAATGAAAATGTATGACACTCCCCCCATGTTAGAAAATGGAAAGACTTGGAAAAAATTATATTAATTAAGCCAGACCCAAAGAAACATAGGTCCCAAAGTCTCCCTTATTTTCAGTAACTAGTATACATCTAGAATAATCTTACCAGACAAGCAGAAAAGGTCAAAAACTATGTACCTATGACCATATAAGATGATGCTAAGCAAAATGAACCACAAGATATGGACAACAAGAGGTTTTTTCTTTGTGGCTGTTGTTTTTAATGTACTATGTGATTTTTTTTTTTTTTTAATTATTCTTTGGTATGTTCTTCCCCCATGGTATAACCCCTGTTGTCACTGTATTTGATTCCCGTGCCCTGCATCTTGTATATACATTTTTCTAATTTGGGGAGGGGAAGGGGAAAAATGTATTTCTCATCTCTACTTCATGTTTTCAAATTCAACAATTACTCTGTTTAGAGTAAGGAGAAATTTTTAGACAAAATCTATTCACAAAAAAGGTCTAACCATATATAGTATACGTAGTTTAGTCCCAAATTATCTACTTATTATTTTCTTAAAATGTCTAGATTTATTCCTACATTTGAAAATATATATATATATTCTTACAAATGATTTGTTCATGGCACGTTTCACTTCATCAGAACCATCTGAATATATTTGTTGAAATAATTTGTTTAAAGCTGCATCACCCTCCAACTTCTCATTCTTTTCTTCCTCTTTGATCTCACCAACCAATTTATCCCAATTTCTTGTATAATGAGATGATGATGGATATAGGTTCTTTACATCTGCAAAGTCAAAAAGGCAGAAGTGATTAATCAATATCATTTGATTGTGTCAAGAATCCATAAACAATGTGACCATGGTGGTGTATAGAACATCTTATCAAACAGTATAGCCTCCTGAATTACAAGTTTATGGAAAGCATTTTTTTATATACACATCAATAACTAACTAGGTTTGTCCTTCTACAAGAATTAGCACATTCAAAATCTAGGATTTTCTTTGGAGAAAAACAAAACCAAAGTGTAGGTTATGGGGGCATTATATAAGAATAGATTGTTAATAACAGGAAACTAACTGAAGTACATAGACTTTCAGAGATGATACAAGCAATAATTTTTTTAAAAAGATGTTTTGTTAAAAATTCCTAGTCAGGCTGTGGGCTTGGCTCATGTGACAGAGTACCTGCTTAGCAAGGCCAAGGCCCAAACCATTTCCTCTAAAGTCAGGAATAAGATAAGGATGACTACTGTATTGCTTTTCAATGTAATACTGGAATTCCTAGCCAGAAGATTAAGGTGAGAGAGACATAAAAGGGATTCAATTAAGAAAAAAAAAAAAATCAAACAATCCCTATTTGCAGAATATAATCTAAAGGATCCTAGAAAGACTCTACCTCCAAACTCCTAGACCTGATCAGTAACTTTGCCAAAGTAGCAGGATACAAACAACCCACAAATATCAGTATTTTTCTGTATACCAACAATTAGCAGACAGGAAATCAGGAGAACAATTCAATTTGCAATAACAATTTTTTTTTAAAATCTAGGAATATACTTGAGGAAGTGAAGGACCTCTATAACAAAAACTAAAAAACAAAAACAAAAACTTTGAAGAAAGCAATTGAAGACACCAGAAAGTACCATCTGCACTGATCAGCAGAATATTGTGAAAATTGGTGGCTCGTGCCTGTAATCCTAAATACTCAGGAAGCTGAAATCTGAAGATGGAGGATCAAAGGTAGCCCAGGTAGGGAAGTCTGAGATTCATTTCCAATTAAGTACCAAAAAAGCTCAGAGACAGTAAACTGGCCCTGAGGTTCTAATCCCAAATCCAGAACAAACAAAAGAAAATTGCCATAGCCAAAGGTGATCTACACATCAGTGCCAATACTCATCAATATCCCAATGTCAATGAGAGAGAGAAAATAATCCAAACATTCACATTGAACCACACAAAAGGTCCCAAAGAGCCAGAGCAAATTTAGACAAAACAATTCTGGAGGCTATCACAATTCCAGACCTCAAACTTTACTATAGAGCTGTAGTAACAATACCAGCTTAGTACGGGCACAAAAATAGGTCCAAAGACTAAAAGAATAGCCTTGAGGACCCAGAAATAAACCCATATACTTACAGCCATCTAAAATTAGACAAGGATGCTAAAAATGTATGCTGGAATACAGTCTCTTCAACAAATGCTGCTGAGAAAACCACATATCCATATGTAAAAGGCTGAAATTGGATCCATTTGTCACCACGCACTAATAACAACTTAAAATGGATCAAAGACCTCAACATCAGACCTGAAACCTTGAAACTACTACAGGAAGGAGGAAAGACATCAGAACTTATTAGCATAGGGAGTAGAGTTCCAGGGGCTCAGCAAATTGAAGAGACAATCGACTAAAGGGATTGCATCCAACTAAAAATTTCTGCACAAGGGCATAGTTACTAAACTAAAAAAGATAGTCTACAGAATGGGAGATCTTTACCAGCTATATATCAGACAAAGGCCTAATATCCAGAATATACAAGGAGCTCAAGAAAGTAACCACCGATACAATAAATAAGCAAAGGAGCAAAATAGAAACATTCCAGAAGACTTTTTTTTCCTAATTGAATCCCTTTTTTGTGTCTCTCTCTTGCCCTATTCTTCTGGCTAGGAATTCCAGTATTACATTGAAAAGGAACAGAGTAGACATCCTTATCCTGTTCCTGATTTTAGAGGAAATGGTTTGGGGCCTTGGTCTTACTAAGCAGGCACTCTGTCACATGAGCTAAGTCTAGGAAGTTTTAACAAAACATCTGTTAAAAAAAATTAGAATTGCTTGTATCATCTCTGAAAGTCCTAATAAACACATGAGGAAATGCTCAGCATTCCTGATAATAAAGGAAATGCAACTCAAAATAACATGGAGTTTGTATCTCACCCTAGTAAGATTAGCCCGCCTTTTGAGGAGCTAGGATTTCAGGTATGAACTATTGGTGCCTGGCTTCACTTTTCATAGTTGTAAAATTGAAATCTTAATATCAACTTTGTGGTTATCCAAGGACACAGGAAGAGGAATCTCAAGTGTGTGGGGTTGTTTCTCTTCCCTCCTACAGCCTGTACAGGGGCGTCTGCTTAGCATAACCATCTCAGGCTTCTCTGCAACTTAATGGGTAGATAGAACAGGCAGATTTGGGGATCTGAAGTTTTTGAAGGGTGTGTACTTGAAAAGGGGAACAGTGGAGTTCATGAACTGAGGATCCTGATAGTCAGGAAAGGCAAACTACACAGCCACTCCTGATGCTTACTTTTCTTTTGCTCTTGCCTTTAAAAATTATGATGATGATAATGCATATTTTAACACAGTAAAGTGGTCAGTTTAATGAATTTTGACAGATGTATACTTCCATGTATCCAATCCCAAATCAAGACATAGAACATTTCCCAGCATTTCCTTGTGCTCCTTTTTACTGGGGAGATGACTCCCTGCAGGCAGTCCTTAGTCTGACTGCCTGCTCTGTAGATGAGTTTTATCTTTGTTTGGACTTGGATCCCATCAATGGAATTGTACAACATGTTGCCTCTATTACTTTTCTAGATGCTATTGTAATATATACCTACAAACTTAGTGGCTTAAAACAACCTAAATTTATTTCTTTTGTTTCTGTGTTAGAGGTCCAGTCTTTGGGCTGAAGTCTAGGTGGTCACAGGGTCTGTTCTTTTCTGAAGTCCCTTGGGAACAATCTGTTCCCTTGTCTGGGCCAATGATATCTTCTCCATCTTCAAAACCAACTGTTTACGGGCTGGGAATGTGGCTTAGTGGTAGAGTGCTTGCCTAGCATGCATGAAGCCTTGGGTTTGATTCCTTAGTACCACAAACAGAAAAAGTCCGAAGTGGAACTGTAACTCAAGTGGTAAAGTGCTAGCCTTAAGCAAAAAAAAAGAAAGCTCAGGGACAGTGTCCATGCCCTGAGTTCAAGCCTCAGGACTGGCACAATAAAAAACAAACCAAAAACAGCAACAACAACAACAAAAAAAACCCACAAAAAAAGCAGCAGTGTTACATCTCTGCCATTCTTCTCTAGTCACATCTCCCTCAGGCCACAGTTAAGAGGAAAGGTTCTAATGCATGTATGCATGCACACTAGTACTAGGGATTGACCTCAGGGCCTAAAGTTCCTTGGCATTTTGAGTTCATGGCTAGTGCTCTACTACTTGGGCCACACCTCCAGTTCTAGCTTTTTGCTGGTTAATTATTAGACAGATGAATCTTGAGACTTTGTCTACCCTTTGTCTAGCTGGCTATGAACCATGATCCTGATAGCTCAGATTCTGAGTCGTTATGATTATAGTTGTGAGCCATAGGCATCAAGACACATCTCTTCTCTTTAGATGACTCAGGTGGTTGGATTGGGCCCTGAGATAGTTTGGATGTAGTTGGCCCTAAAGAATCATTTGTTGAGCCAGGCAACGGTGGCTTACGCCTATAATCCTAGCTACTCAGGAGGCTGAGATCTGAGGATCATGGTTCAAAGCCAGCCCGGGCAGAAAAGTCCATGAGACTCTTATCTCCAATTAACCACCAGAAATCTGGAAGTGGTGCTGTGGCTCAAGTGGTAGAGCACTCACCTTGAGCTGAAGAGGTCAGGGCCAGTGCCGAGGCCCAGAGCTAAAGCCTCATAACCCATCAAAAAAAAAAGAAAAGAAACAAACAAAAATATACTAATGAGCATCTTTTAAAATATAGCCTTTGCTAAGAAAAAAAAAAAAAAGATGCTTTCTTAAAAATTCCTAGTCAGGCTGTGATCATGCATGGCTCTAGTGGTAGAGTGTTTGCTTAGCAAGAACAAGCCCTGAGTTCAAACCCCAATACTGCTAAAACAAAAATAACGAGTTCAAACCCCAATACTGCTAAAACAAAAATAACAAAACAAGGTCCTCTTTGCAAATAAGATTTAAATGGTAAAAATGTGACTTTCTTTAAGTAGACACTCTTAAGGAAAGAAATAAAGAGGAACTATATATAACTACCATACTATCAGTTAAGACTCCCATTACTATCTCTACACATTAAAAATGTAAGAATTGCCAAGTGCTGGTGGCTCACGCCTGTAATCCTAGCTAATTAGGAGGCTAAGATCTGAGGATCGTGGTTCAAAGCCAGCCTGGGCAGGAAATACCATGAGACTCTTATTTCCAATAAACCATCAAAAAACCAGAAGTGGTGCCATAGCTCAAGTGGTAGAGTGCTAGCCTTGAGCAGAAGAGCTGAGGGACAGTGCCAAGGCCCAGAGTTCAGCCCCATGATTGACAAAAAAATAAAACAAAAAACAAAAGTAAGAATTAAGAAGAAATTCCTGAATGCTGAAACTACCAGAGTATTTAGTAATGACTATATATAAATTATATATATAGTATAAAATGGGCACATCAGGGTAAACAAAGGTTACCTGCAACAGAGAAGCTACTAGCCTAGTGTGCCTAAAGGCACTATAAGGGCTAATCCAAAAACCAAAGAAATGAAGATGCTACAACATAAATAACTTTAAAAATAACTAAAGTCAGGCACTGGTGGCACATACCTGTAACCACTCAAGAGATCTGGGCTGAGAATGTGCCTTAGTGGTAGAGTGCTTGCCTAGCACGCATGAAGCCTGGGTTCGATTTCTCAACACAAACAGAAAATGCCAGAAGTGGCACTGTGGCTCAGTGATAGAGTGCTAGCCTTGAGCAAAATAATCCCAGGAACAGTGCAAGCCCCAGGACTGGCCAAAAGAGGCTGAGATCTGAGGAATCACAGTTCAAAGCTACCCCAGGAAGGAAAGTCTGTGAAATTCTTCTCCAATTAACTACTAGAAAACCAGAAGTGTCACTATGGCTCAAATTGGGAGAGTGCTATCCTTGAGCAAAAAAAACTGAGACAGCCCAGGCCCTGAGTTAAAACCCCTCAACTGAGAAGGAAAAACAAAAAACAAAAAAAACAAAAACCCCTAAATGACCTAGTAGGTGTTAATAACGAGTAGCTCTGTTTACTGTCCAATGAAAATATGAAACAGCCACACAGAACTTTAATATTTGTAGTTGAATGTTACTAAAACTAAGAAATAAAGGGAAATGCATTTAGTATGAAGTATATTTTATTTAATCTAGAATATTAAAAAAAATTTCATCTTAACACATGAACTCAAGAAAATATTAAACAAAATCCAACAAGACCCTGGACAGTTTTTCAAGGTAAATACACTATTTTGAAAAAGCAATCCATCTTCCCTGTATTGAACTTTTTTTCTTTGTATATTTTCATTAGTAGCCAAAACAAAAACAAAAGAAAAATGCTTGCAATGGGAAGTAAAGAGCTGGGAAACATGTATTTAATTAATTCTAATGCTGACTCCCAGAAAGGATGGGAATAGAGGTTTTAATCTCCATTTTACAGATAAGAAAGCTGGCCCAGAAAGGTTAAGTGACTTGCCCTTATCTACAGTCTACAGCTTGCAGTACACAGGAATCTGACAAGCATATTAATTCCTTACAAAAATGTAACAGGACAGGAGAAAGAACATCTTGAATATCTAAGGTATTGAGTTTAGTGGGGAAAAAACTTATTAACTTTAACACTAAAAAAAAAAAAAAAAAAACCTTGATATTTAATCTCAGAAAAACCCCAACACCTGGAGACAGGAGATGAACTACTGAGAGCTGAATAATCTAACGTCCTTATTCATTCACTGTATTATCAAATAACTGCAAAGATACTCCTGTCAGCAGAGACCATTTCTATTGTTAGAAAACGCAACAACAAGCAGTATCACACATGGGGTTAATAGAAGAACCAAACCCAGATTCTGAAGTCCTGCATTGTAGTTCTATACAATTTATCTGCCAGGTGATTTTTAAGATAGGTGTTTAACCTATCTTAGCAAACTGTGAAGTAGAAGAAACAATACAGGGTGTCCTGTTTTAGAAGTGAGCTGGGTGTTGGTGGCTCACACCTATAAACCTAGCTACTCAGGAGGTTGAGATCTGAGGATCAGGATTCAAAGTCAGCCTGGGCAGGAAAGTCCGTGAGACTCTGCTCTCCAATAAACTAGAAAACCAGAAGTGGTGCTGTGGCTCAAGGGGTAGAGCACTAGCCTTGAGCTGAAGACCTCAGGGATAGCACCCAAGACCAGAGTTCAAGCCAAAAAACTGACTGAAAAAAAGAAGTGAGGGGGGAGGAGGTGTGTGTGTGTGTGGGGGGGGGGAAACAGGAGGATGGGAAGGCATGGGAAGGGGAAACAAAGAAGGAGGCTACAATGCTTGATAAGAAGTATACTCATTATCTTGCCCATGTAATTGTAACCCGTCTGTACAGTATTTTCACAATTAAAAAAAAAAAAGAAAAAAAGAAGTGAAACATATTTATAGAGACTCACATTATATAAACCTCTGCCCCAGAATTTCTGTAAAGGGTCCCAGCCACAAGAAAAACACACAACATACCTTTTTAAGTATCAACTAGAAATATTTCAGTTCTTAAAAATTATTTGTTCATATCCATTTCCTGGCTTGCTCAACGATACTTCAGACTGGTTAAGACATCATAACTGGGAAAAGCTAAATGAAGGGCATATGTAAACTCCTATTTTTATCATTTCTGTGTCTAAAATTACCTCTAAATATGCACATGCGTGTGGCATGTGTGTGTGCACGCACACACACACCCACACACTCCCCTACTAAATAACTCATCTTCTAAAAGTTTGCCACAAGCAATCTGTTACAGAAGTAGTTAAAGTGTGAAAGTAACTGAGACACAATGTTAGCTTGATTCATTAAATTAGAGCATTAACTAACAAATCAAAAAGAAATGTCTTTATTCATTAATAAGGCTATTACAGTTGAAAGCAATCTTAGGTTATATTTCTAGAGTGTCCTTCAGATTAATTATTCCATTAGAAAAATGCTTATCTGCTTATTGCATATGTGAGAACTGACCTCAACACAACAGTATTCATCCCTCAAAGGGTTATAAAAATCAATCCTAGTTTTCCATTTCTTTCATAGTTTTTTTTTTCCTTAGGTACTCATTATCTGTTTTTGTTCATCTCTAAATTAGTAACAGAATAAATAAGTTTTACTCTTTGAAACCCTCATATTCTAGTAAATTAAGACCTGATAGTATCAGTAGAAGAAATAGGAATGAAGAGAAGGAAATGTATCAGGTTCAGCAAACTAACTTAAAATCAAAACAGAATATTAAAGTCACACAAAAAAAACAAACTCCAAAAAAAAAAACAAAAAAACTCCAACTAATATCATACGTTTACACAGTAAACAACCCCACTCCTCTGCTGCCATACATTTGTATTCTTACATTAGGGAACTGAAGCATTTATGAAAGGCTACTTTATATTCATTACAAAGTATAACTTTATTATAATTAATTTATCTTTTCTTGGCAACATAAATAATGAAGTAGAAAGAATGTTCATTACTATTTAATTTCAAATATACAACACAATATGAATTTAAAGCTATCCAAACAAACCTGCTATAAACTGTTTTGGTGTAGGCACATCTCCTTGCCCCTCTAGCTTTTCCCATCTCACAGCCTCTGGCTTTTTCATTTTAATTTCAATCTGAAGGAAACACAAAATAAAATCTATTATTCACTGTAAAATACATAAATCAGTAAAAATGCAATTTTCTTATGTCATCAAAATTTTATAAGAATTAATAATGTCCCTGACAGTTTGCTTGAATTACACAAGGTTAAATTCGAGGAATTATGAAATATTTATTTTGTTTCTACTCTAGAATTCACCCTTCAAAAACTAACACATACACCACATAAACTACAATTAAGAATCTTGTCCAGGTGCCCGTGGCTCACGCCTGAGCTGAGATCTAAGAATCATGGTTGGAAGCCAGCCTGGACAGTGAAGTCCATGAGACTCTTTTATTTTCCAATTAATCACAGAAAAAGCTCGAAGTGGCCCTGTGGCTCAAGTGGGAGAGTGCTAGCCTTAAGCAAAAGGAGCAGAGGGAGAGTGCCCAGGCCCAGAATTCAAGCCCCAGGACCAGCAAAAAAAAAAAAAAATTTGATATCTAAATGCTTACTTTTCTTCTAACAGAGCAATTCTGCCACCCAGAGGGCATTTGGTGTCAGTTATCACAACCACAATGTAATTATCTACTCCAAAAATACCTTCAAGGCCATTACTGAAAAACCCTGTTCTAAAGAAATTACTGGAAGAGCTTACTCCACTGTATAAAAATTGTACAAGTCTTTAAAGCACAGCTCAAGAGGTAGACTGCCAGGCTAGCAAGTGTAAAGCTGTGAATTCAAACTCCTGCTCTGTTAAAAAAACAAGAATACAACTAATGTTAACAAACTTACTAATACCTCGGACAAGTAGTCTGGGGGCTGGGAATGCGGCTTAATTTTAGAGTGCTTGCCTACCATGCATGAAGTCCTGAGTTCAATTCCTTAGTGCCACATAAACAGAAAAATCCAGAAGGGCCACTGTGGCCCAGGACTGGCAAAAAAAAAAAAAGTAGCAATTCAGATTTTTTTAGACTTTGTATACACATAAAGAGATTATTTTTATAGATTGGACCAAAGTTTAAAGATGGCATTTATAATTACATTTCACTCATACCTTTTACAAAAGCCTTTAGGTAATTTTATACAGTATACAATACTTTTAGAGTGCCAATGTTTTGATTGTCATATATGGTCAGGAGTAAAATTTTCTTCATTTGTGATTTTGAAGCATTCTAGACTTTGTATTTGAATACTAGGGATGTTCCACATGTATTAAACACCTACTATGAATAGAAATAGTCTTCAAGACTAGAGAATCGTGTGTATGTGCTGGCCTGGGGTTTGAATTCAGGGCCTGGGCATGGTCCTGAGCTTTTTTGCTCAAGGCTAGTGCTCTACCACTTGAATTTACCACTTGTTCTAAAAGCTCAAAAAAGAAGGCTGTGATGAAGAAAGGTTCCACACAGTCTAAAGGGCTCTGATAGTAGACCTCAAAGGTAAGGTCTGCAGAAGCAATAAAATGGCCTAAAAGTGGGGATTTGGGGAGTGAAAGATACAAACTCAGGAGTACAGAGAAGAGAATTAGCTCCAATGTAGGATTTACACCTTGACAGCTGATGCCAACATATGTATAAAAAGAAATAGAAGTTAGAGAGTGCTTCTGAACACTAGACTAAGTCCATTTATTACTTTAATATATATTTTTATTGTAAAGATACTGTACAAAGGGGTTACAGCTACATGATTAAATTAATGAGTACTTCCTATTGAGCATTGTTACCCTCCCCCTTTGTTTTTCCCCTACCATCCCTTCCATTCCCACCTCCCCAACTTCTCACCCCAACCTCCCCCCCCCACCGAAGCTGTAAAATGTAGTAGCATTCTAATAGCACTTTTGCACTAATCAAGGCGATCCTCACAATCTGCTCTTATCCCTAACATAGTCAAAATGCATAATGCTTTCATCCCTACTGTTAAAAACTTAGCAAAGACTATGTTTGGTGGCACTGACTACTGAGGAGGCAGAATAGAACACAAGTTCAAGGCGAGCATGGACACACTATTGCAACAATTAAGAAAGACTGGACATGTAGTTCAGAGTTACAGTACTTTCCTAGCATATACCAGACCCTGACTTCAATTTCTAGTACCAAGAGTGGGGAAAAATATAAAAACAAAACAAAAAAGTGTAGCAAGACCATTAATCATAGTACTAAATAGTATTATATATGGTTTAAATTAAAAATCAAATTCATAATTTAATTATTTTCTATGACAAGATCATTACTTTTGTAAATAGAAAAAAAATTTTTTTTTTGGTCGGTCAAATGGGGCTTGAACTCTGGGCCTGGATGCTGTCCCTGCACTCTTCAGCTCAAGGCGAGCACTATTGAGCCACAGAGCAACTTCCGGCTTTCTAGTGGTTTGTTGGAGATAAGAGTCTCATGGACTTTCCTGCCCGGGCTGGCTTTGAACCGCGATCCTCAGATCTCAGCCTCCTGAGCAGCTATGATTACAGGTGTGAGCCACCGGTGCCAGACTAGAAAAAAAATTTTGAAACATACCTAACATATAGAGAAGCCTATTCACCCATTGCATTTATTTCAGATGGTTCATTTAAATCAGCAATTCCTAGCCATCTTTCTCTCATCTGCATTCTGTAAGACAATCTCCAAATTGTACTTTAAAATACCTTAACAAAGAACGAACATAGAAAACCCAGCATATGTACTATGTGTACACACACACACACACAAAATTTTTGAGACAGTGTTTCACATTTTTCCCAAATAATTACTCAAGCAATCTTCCTGCCTCAACCTCCCAAGTAGCTGGAAGTACAGGCACATGCAAATGTGCCTAGATTTCAGTCAATATTTTAATTGGACATGATTTAATTGTTTGTAGGGAAGTGTTATAGTTTCTGAGTCTATTTTCTTTATGAGAACAGAAATGTTTTCAAAACAGAACTGTTTTCAAAATAAGAGAAATACATAAAACAAATGTCACTGGCCAAAGGCAAAGTATCTTTAATGTAATGTTCATGCTTAAATTCTGCTAAAAAGAAAACCAACATTTGTTCATGCTTAAGTCCTGCTAAAAGGAAAACAAGCATTTTACAAGAAATCTCTAGAATTTCCTTTAGTGAACTATGACTAATATCACTAACGTAAAATGGCACTAATATTTTTTCACAGATATTATGTGATAGTACTTTGGTTATTTCGTTTTTTGTTGTGTTTTTTTTTTGTCAGTCATGGGGCTTGAACTCTGGGCCTGGGAGCTGTCCCTCAGCTCTTCAGCTCAAGGCTAGCGTTCTACCACTTGAGCCATAGCTCCACTTCCAGTTTTTTTCTGTTTATGTGGTGCTATGGAATCGAACTTGGGGTGTTATACATGCAAGGCAAGCATTCTACCACTGACCCACCTTCCCAGCCGTGCTTTTCTTTTTTTTTTTGGCAGTCCTGGGGTTTGAACTCAGGACACTGTCCCTGAGCCTCTCTGTGTTTAAGGCTAGCACTCTAGCACTCTACCACTTGAGCCAAAGCGCCACTTTTGGCCTTTTCTGTATATGTGGTACTAAGAAATTGAACCCAGGTGCTGTAGAAAACAAGATAAAAATATAGGTATAGATCTTGATACTGTTCCATTAGGCCCCTGCATTCCCCCAGTGGTGAGGCTTGAGGAAACCTAAGGATTCTTGCTTAATAAGCAAGTTACTCTACCTTGAGTCCTGGATTTGAAAAGACTTAAAACAATTCTCTAGCATCACTGACAAGAACATATTCAATGAACAGTTAATAAACACAAGCAAATTAGTACTTTTACTCATAATCTGTAACTCTAACTATATAACTATAAAATTACAGTAATTGTTAAGCCAACCAATTACTAATAACATAACTACATTTCAACTATGCATCAATGAAAATGGTCACCATTGCTATAAAATAGTCTTTCAAATTACTTGTCTTCTTTCCCAGAAGTTACAGCATAAGCCAAAAGGCAGAGTAAAACTAAACTGGCAAACTTAAGGAGGTTTGATTTTATGTTTATCCCATGATTCTTTATTGTTTTTGAAATTATACTAAATAAATGTACATACTATGTTTGTACCTTTAAATATCCATATATTCTAAACCCCTTCTAAGAAATAAAAGTTTATCAATTAAAAAAAAAAAAAAGAAATTGAACCCAGGGCTTCTTCATGCCTGCTGGGCAAGCACTCTACCAACTAAGCCACATTCACAGCCTACGTTTGTTATTTCAAGAGTTATTGCTGAGGTAACTCATCAAAAGGGAACAGAGGAGCCATGCACTAGTGGCTCACACATATAATCCTAGCTACGGAGGAGGTTAAGATCTGAGGATCACAGTTCAAAGCCTGCCCAAGCAAGAAAGTTCATAAAACTAATCTACACAATTAACCACCAAAAAACTGACAGTGATAACCTTAAGCAACAAAGGCTCAGGGACAATGTCCAAGCCCTGAGTTTAAACTATGCATAGGACTGGTGTGCATACGCACGCGCGTGCACATGAACGCAAGCACGCACGCACGCACGCGCGCACGCACACACACACACACACACACACACACACACACGAATGGAAGAGCTCAATAGCTGGCAATGACAAGCAACAGTTACCAAAAAGAGCTATTAACATCATCCTAAAATTTTAAAACTGAGTCTTGCACCCTTAATTTTCAACTTATCTGGACATGATAGCAGGGAAAAGGGTACATATATTGGGCATACTGAACTCATTCCCAGGGCATCCTATAGTGAATATTCACTCAAGTTCCTGGACTACCTACTCTTTGTAAAGTTCCTTGTTCCACCCAAAGAGCAGCACAGACTAGCACTCACATCTACTGAAAGCCACTGTAACCTGAGTAATTGTGCAATATGAATAAAGAGGCTTTTATAAAGCTAGAGTCAAAAGCTCTTAACAACAACCTGTTTCAATTGAGACAGGCTGACCTGAACTTGAAATTATACTTATTCTATTCATTAAATAGCAGCATCTACTAAGCCTTTTAAGGGAACTGTCTTAAAAGGTATAAAGGAGGGAAGGACTGATTTTGTG